GTTTGGAGTAAAGAAGCTGGGTTGTCAGCCTTGGATTTTGACATGCGGCTCATTTGCTGAGTAGCTTACTTAAGTTTCAGTGGTATGCATGGTTAGGTATAAGCACAACTATTGTGAAGACTGGAGATAAATATCTGAAACAACACGTTATGGTTTTGACTTATTGAAGTTACTCTTCCGGGAAAATTGAAATGTTGGCATGGAAATAACTCTCCCAGGAAAATAGCTGTTGAGCATTTGTTTTTTAAACACTGCATATATGGCATTCCCTCCTCCCCCTCTGTTTAAGGATATAGAGCAAGGGTGGCATTGCTCCAGGATTGAGGGTATGTTGTGACTTAAATGATGACCATTATATCACTGCAGTGTTATGATTAAATTTATGGTTAATCTTGCATCAAGGATGGTATTAGTCTTTCTTCTTTTGCATAATATACCTCAGTATTTATTTGAAGGAGGTTTATTTTGAAGGATTTATTTGAAGGCAAAAGCTTATGTTGCCTGCTATTTCTCATTTGCAAAAACATTGCCTTTTACCCACTGCTGTGAAGCACAAGCTATGAGTAAATAGCTCTATTGAGAAAATAAGCATGCAATAAATTTTCATGAGCCATTTAAATCTTGCATTTTTTTGCAACATTGAAATAACTTTTACAGGGTAATGACTTGGGTGGGTGAAGAAGTGCTGAAAAATTTGTGAATAAGATGAGCCCTTCAGCAAAAAGCACTACTGTGGCCTCAAAATCAATGTTTCCTTGAAGCTGTTTTTAGTGTTGTTGGTGTTGAATGTCATAATAAGTAAATAAACAATATTATTAAAATTCTCAGTAGTTGCAAAAATCGTATGTCTTTTCATCCAAGGAGGCATAGGTGTTCTGAATGATGAGAAGAAAACAAGAGGGAGATAAGTTTGAAGCCTTAAGAAGTCACCCAAAGCCTTCCTTCTCCTCCCTCCAAAACCTGCATGATTTTTGATATCATTAGTAATTTGATGTCACATAGTTTTCACTGGCTTCTTGTTTGATTGCTTTAAAAATAGAAGCAGCTATTGCTTTGTATTAAAAAAAGTATTCTCACCCAAAACCAACTACATTTCTTTTGAAGTTGAGAATTTCTGTGGTAGAATAGAATAGCCATTCCCTTATCTAACATTTGAGGTCAGAACAAACAGAGCCTCTGGCAAGGCAATAGGAAAACATTACCTTGGCTGAGCAGCAAGACCCTGCCAGTGTCTAGGCCCTTCATCTCTGGGGCAAAATGTTGACCCATGAGTCAAAGTACATTTTCATAATTGTAAAAAAAAAAAAAAAAAAAATCCAACCAAAAACTCCAAAGCCAAAATCTGGAATATTTTTTTTCATTTCATCGATGAAATGTCGCATTTAAGTTTTGAAAAGAGATGTGGAGTAGGAAAGCAGCAGTAGGTTTGTAGTGGAGGTTCCTGTTCCAGGAAGCTAAGACAGAAGAACTGCTTCTGATTAAGTGCAAACAAGGAGAAAGGACCCTGAGCCACTCTGATCTGTGGAGGGAGCTCAGTCCAGTGAGGAGAGGGCTGACACAGGGGTATTCCTTATGCACCTAAATAAATTGTGAATTTTCCATCTAAATGGGTGTTCCACAACAGGCTCAGCAGCACCTTTATTCTGCCTGAAGGGCAAGACAATTTAAAGGTTGGACTTGTTCTGAGAAGTCTTTTTCACTCTCAATGATTCTATGGTTCTATGAGATGTCAGAAAAAAAAAAAAAAAAACCAAAAACGTGGTTACCTGTTTAAGAATCCGAGGAGTGAATGTAACATTGCCTGTAACATTCCTGTCGCAAAAGAGGGAGGCAAAAAAGGATTAACTCTGCTTCTGGAATGGAAAGTTAGACTTCACCCAGGCTTTTATATTTCCTTCTACAAAACCAGAAAGGACGTGCCTGAAAATCCCAAGATGTGCTGAACTAACTAGTGGGCTAAACTGGTGTTCCTTCCAGTCTGACAAACCTTTTATTAGCTCAGTGGTGGTCACAAAGATACATAATATTACTTCTTTACATGTGAAATAGAACAAGTTTGGTTTGCTGTGGTTTTTTTGTTTGTTTAGGGTTTTTTTTTTTACTTTGTAGTATTTGTTTTGGTTTTTAGCAGGAAGGAAGTTGTCAGGTAATCTCCCAAGTATTTCATGGAAGCGATTAATTTCTGTTTAATCCCTGGATTTAGGTGAGCTATTTATATGCTTGAGAAAAAAGAGACTGCTTTTTACACTCACCTGCTTGGCTGGGTAATCCATGATAATTGAATAAATAACTGGAGTTTTTAAAAGTTATTTCATGCCTTCTGGACATAAAGCATACATAATTCTGGACAAAACTTTGAGAATAAAAAAAAAATCAATCCCAACCAAACAAAAACCCCCCAAGATTTAATTTACTGCTAAGCCTGTTTGTTAATTGATAAGTTCTTTGCTGGGCAAAGTAGTCATTTAGAAGGTTTTTATGGTTTTCTCAAAAGGCTGGATTTCATACTAGTTAGCTTGGAGGTCTTCACCCCAGATTCAGCTACTGCTCATTTGCTGCACATGTAAAAATATGAACCACTATTGAGTAAGAGAGGTTTTTCACAGCTACAGTTATTACCAACCATGTGAAATCTTGAAACTTGATGATCTAAATGAAACTGATATTTGGTTTCTGACTTCTGTAAGAGCTTCTTTCTCTGCCATTCCCAGCTAATGGGCTTAAAATATTTGTTTCTCCTCAATTTTATTATACGGTTGGATAAATTTTTGTACAATTAGAAAACTTGCTTCATTTTAAGAAGGATCCAGTTGCATTTGCTGTGGAAGAAAGTGAAGGAAATGCAAGAGAATTCAGAGTCCCTGCTGAATACTACTTTTCCGTCTGCTCTGTCAAAACATATGTTGGGAGCATAAATGTAAAATATTATTTGGACTTTAATTGTGCTGCTTTAATTTGGAAGTTAATTACAAACCTTGAGATACAGAGGGGTGTTTATGATGGAAAAGAAATCATGATTGGTGTGGCTTCAACAACTGCCACTTGAACATAAAGCAGCAATTGGTGTTGTCATTTGAAGTTGCACTAATGCACAGAAATCTTGATGGCACTGTAAACTTTCATTTATGTGAGAAAATCTTTTTCAGATTTTCTGTCCACTACTTGGATTTGTTTGCATTGAGATTACAAGTACAGCTATTAATGCAGTGAACTGAATATAGCAAAAAACTTCACCACCAGCTTTGCAAGTCTAAAGTACTTTCTTTACACTTAAAAAAAAAATATATATATATATTCTGTAAGTGCCAAATAATGCCAGCATGCACGCAGGCTGGGAGACTGCATGCCATCAGGGGAGGGAGCTTTACCTGGTAGAGGTTCCTACCCATGTCTCTGTTGCAGGTTGTCTTCAGGGAAGGCAGTAATGGGTATTTCCATGGTCCATCAACTTTTCCTAGGCAGTCTCAAAGCTGTAGCAGTTTCTCATGAAGACTCTTCAGGTGCTGCTAGCCTCAGTTGACAGGCAGGCACTCTCCACCTGCTGTGCACTGCTGTGTCCTGCCTGGCTCTGGGAGCAGCAGCAGCTCTGGGCACTGCAGGTTGTTCAGGTTACTGAAGACAGGCTCGTGGAAGTGGCAGCAAGATTTCCAGTAGCAGCTGTGCTCCCAGTTTTTTTGGGGAGCTGCTGAAAGCTGTCCAGTCACTGTTGCCTTTCAGAGGTGAAGTTTTGGCAGACCACAACAATTTCAGAGGCAGTTTCTCTTCCTTCTGGTCTGGTGTTTCCTGCATCATGTGCTTTAAGGTCTTTTCTGTGGATGTCTGTTAGTGAGACTTTCCATATTCTAGTTGGGAGGTTAAATCCCTGTGGTTATTTCCCTGGAACACTGGCTTGCTTATTTTCAGCCTGCCTTTCTGACTCCCTTGTGCGGTATGCTCTCTTCCACACCCTTGTATCTTGTCTTCTCCTTTATGCTCTGCTCCCCTTGGTGAACTTGGTGTTCATATTTGTGCATCTGCTATAATATTGGAACATTGGCTGGGTTGGAAATAAGCTGTGGTTAAATCTGCTTCTGGCTGTGTGCAGTGTGAGGGCAGGGTACTTACCTGGCTGCAAGCCAGTTTCAGCTCATCTTGCTGAGGGAGCTTCATGCTGGATCCAATGGAAACTGCAGAAAGTACCTGAGTACTTGATTTCCTAGTTGCAAATCCTACAGAGATGTTCTTTTCCCCTGTATCGAGTACTTTGAGCAGCTTTTATAAGCCAATAAATAAAATCCTTCAAAATTCAAGGCATCATGTGTGCTGCTGTGTCCCAGCTCACTGTTACCCTTGTGCCAGCACAGGCACAATGAGCTGGATCAGGGCTGGTAAGTCACTTGCCAGGTGGTTATGCTGGGGCCAGGCCAGTTGACAACTATAAGACAGTTAAACATTTTGTCAGTGGACCTCCAAGCCAGCCAGTGGCAATCCCTGATCTCAAGCTTACAGAAATGTCATTCAAATAAACCTTCCACAGAAGTGATAAAACTGGGGAATAGGTAGCCTCATGCATGCACCTATGGCCATGGTTGTTTCTTTGGTTACTCAAGATGTCCTTTGGTTTTTTTCCCAAATTTGGCTTTAATAGGCAGATTGTTTAATTCTGGAGCAGCAGACAGCGAAGAACTCTCTTGGTTTTCCTGGCAAAATGCTTTATTGTTGCTATGGGAATAGCCCTAGCACTGTTACAGATTCAGAATGACTCCTGGCTGTCTAGCAGGAGATCTGTTATGCCACATTTGTGGACATTTAGAGAAATGAGTTGGATTGCCAGGATTTAAGGAAAGTAACTTAAAGCTTTCTTCCATGCATCAACCAGAGGACAAAACAGACTTAAGTGCTACTTCTGTAACAGGTGCAATTCCACTTTCATTGTCTCTGCTTTTTAAGAGTGAGTATCTTGAGCTGCAAATAGAAGACAGAGCTGCATACTGACTTACAAAATATATTTTGTTTTTTAGCTCCCAAGAAGATGAGCGGCCTATGTCACCCTTCTACGTGAGGTATTTACTCCATTGTTTTCATTTATTTTTCTGTGTGGGATTGACTCATTATTGGAATTTAATGTGGGGAGGGGTTCAGAAGTGCTGAACAGACTGTAATCAAAGTGAGCATTAATTTTACATTTGTAATTATTGCTCAGTGAGTGGGATGAGTCTTTGTAGCTAATCATCTCTGTTGCGATTATTTTGTATTTAGAGAGGAGGCCCAGAGTTTAAGGTCTTTATTTCAAGATGGACATGGTTTTCCTCTTTTCTTTGGTTTGTTGCATGTCTTAGATGCCTGAGTAGCTTATCTGCAGGCACAGGAGAGATTTTTGCTACAGGATTTGAGGAACTGACAGCATGTGCTGTTCAGAAAGAAACCAGGAACCAGATGGTGAGTCAGCAGCCCATCCAGTTCCCTGCTGCAGCCTAGAAAAGCAGGAGAGTGCCTGGGTACCCAGCAAGCCTCGCTGGAGGGAATGGTACTCATGCTGCATTTGAACAAATTGTTTCTTGTTTTGCCAACTGCAGGGCAAAGTCACTGCTTGTAAAAAGGGTCTAATTCTGTTGACATCTGTGAAAGTTTGCTCTGCTTGCTTCAGTAGCAGGCTTAGTTCCAGTGCTTTCATTTATACTTTGTGGAAGAACAGGAGCCAGAGCAATTAACAATGAAGGGCTGCAGAGGAGGAAGGGCCAGATATTATAATTGGGTTCTTTGATCTCTACAGAGTTTAAACAAATAAAAAGAAATCCCAGTGATGCCTTTTGTGAGAACAGTGATAATTAGAATTCTTACAGCGATGTCTGAAATTTCTTAATCTCTGGTGTATATTCCTGTTTATCTTTATAGCTTGTGTTTTTTCTTAGAGAATTTTTCTAACATGAAGCATAGAAAGAATGCAGTTAATGCATACTATGCAGAAATGTCTGTCAGGGAATTGTTCATGGACTAGCCTGGTAGCATGATCCTGTCTGCCTTCCGGGCAGATGCACCGTCATTCCCTGCAATCCATTTGTGCAGATGTTTCCCAGTCTGTGCCTTAAAAAGCTCCAAATTGTCAAAGGAGATTCTGCCTCTTCCTTCAGGAGATTATTTTGTAGATGCATACATACACTGCCCTCTCTCAAATTTTCCCTAGTTTAAATCTTCTTCATATCTTTCCACTGAAAATTGATCACTCCTTTGTTTTACTTTCTGGCTAAATGTGACCTTCAAATGATTTTAGGGTTTCATTACATTTCCATCTCTTACTGCTCAGAACTGTCCTTCCAAGCCCTTTCCTGGATTATAGAAAAATGATCCATGAAGGAGATTCTCCTTCTCTGACCTTGTCAAGATCACCAAGGAGAGATGGGGAGAAAGGAGTGGACCTGAGAAAACTGATATCAAAGCAGAACATTTCTGGGAGGAAGGAAGCAAATTTGAACATCTTAGAGATTTAGGCTTATGAGGGGGGAAAACAAAGAATGAGTGTGTCCACTGAAATGAAGGGATGGGTTTCCATGGGAATCTGTCTTGCAAATAGGAAGGGAACAGTCAGGAATAAGCACGTAGCTGGGAAGTGAGCAAATGGCTGGTAGGAGTAGAGAGGGAGCTGCGCACCTTGATACACAGGCTTCTTGCCAGGCCCGTGTCTTTTGTAACATTGCTGGGATACAGTTACTTGTAAATAAAGGGAACAGCTTGTAAGTCTTGCTTCTGTTTGTAACACATCAGAAATCTGAGGTCAGTTGCCAAGTGCGGTTAATTTGGCAGGAGAGCTGGTGCTGGCTGGGCAATTCCTGGTGCTTCAACAACTGAGAACTTGAGTGGGTGGCCAGTTTTTTCTGTGTAACTTTGAAAGTTCAAGTTGTTGCCCTAGAGGCTGTGCATGACATATGTAGGAATTGCATTTTACACCATGGGCAAGGAAGGGAAGATTGTCTGCTTTAGCTGTCTGATGGTCAAATCTATTTCTATTACTACCAGCCACACTTACATAGCTTGAAATACTGCTCAAGTAATCCTTCCAGTGAATCATGAATGTTTGGGCACAGGGCGGTCATTGCTGTGTTAATGAAGTAATTCCATATAGATAATTATACAACAAGTTAAGTAAGTGGGAACAAGAGCTCTTTAGCTTCCAAACACGGCATAATACTTGGCTCTTGCCAGATGGAAGGAAAATTGTGTCCCTCTGTCATGGTTTAACCCCAGCCAGCTTTGCTCACTCCCCCACCAACAGGATTTGGTAGAAAACTGGAATGGTAAGAGCTGGAAAACTCATGGGTTGAGATAAAGATAGGTTAATAGGAAAAGGCCATGCACACAAGCAAAGCAGAACAAGGAATTCATTCAGTGCTTCCCGTGGGCAGGCAGGTGTTCAGCCATCTCCAGAGAGCAGGGCCCCACCACATGTAATGATTTCTTGGGAAGGCAGATGCCATCACTGAAAATGTCCCCTCCCCTTCCTCCTTTTCCCCCCCACTCTATACACTGGCCATGATGTCACACGGTCTGGAATATCCCTTTGGTCAGTTTGGGTCACCTGGTCCGGCTGTGTCTCCTCCCACCTTCCACACACCCCTAAATTCCCTGCCAGTACAAAAGCCAGAAAAGGCCTTGGCTGTGTGTAAGTCCTGCTCAGCAATAACACAAACATCTCTACAGTATCAACCCTGTGTTCAGCACAAATCCAAAACACAGCCACATACCAGGCACTGGGAAGAAAATTAACTCTACCCCAGCTAAAACCAGCACACCCTCCATAAATCAGTTTTAGTAGGATCAAATCAGACTTAAGTATTCAGTGCTGTACCATGTCAGCTAACAATGGAGATGTTTCCCTGATTGCTGTTTTCAACAATAAAACAAATGCTGAAGGTCTTAACTTTTAAGTCAGAACTGTCAGAACACCACCAATAAATATACAGTTTCTTAAAATGACACTGATTGGTTGGTTTCTTTCAATATTGGGAAAGTCAAGACTTTATCACCACTGCTACTTAGTAAGGGATAAACAGTCTGTAACAGTATGAGAGTAAGCAGTAAATGAGACAAAATGTGACATGGGTTTGTAAAGAGTGGTAACACCCATACAACCATGTTATTTTTTAAAAGACTTTCCAAAGAGAGGAAGTAAAAGAGTATACCTAATCTGGCTGATGTCAGCAAAATGTTTTATATCATGCCATCTGTATGGAAAAAGTGGGCACGAGTACAAGAACATAAAGATGGGTAGGGAGGAGGTGAGACTTATAGATATTGCTGGTAGGAGAGGAAGGGCATTGCTACTAGAGATCCTGAAGTGCCATGAACTTCTTTTCCTTGATAGCCACTAGCATAATAAAGTCAAATCATGTTCCTTAATTGAGCTTATAGCAGAAATTTAGGAGGGTGAATGGGTTGGCAGTGTCCTCTGGGTGAAAATATGTGACAGTGAGGTATTATATAGAGTGAGATATATGGATATATTTATAAAATATCTCACTTTCATGCATAGAAATGTTATTTTTATATATGTTTATAAAGATAAGCATCAAATTTAAGATATATACTAAAAGAAATAACATAAGTAATAAAGTAATTTATTACTTACGACCTTACTGAGGTCTAATAATGAAAATCTTTGCCCTGGCAGGGGAGTTCCTCACATGTGGAAATGCTGGGGAAAAAAAAGATGTAAACATACTTGTCCATGGAGGGATAAAAATACTCAAGTTGAAGTAATCACATGACAGTGGATATATAAAGGAAATATTTTCAGTACACTTAGAGGTATGGATACCCCTGTACAAGAGACAGGTAAAGCCTTAAACACTTTCAAGTCATTCATGTTCCAAACGCTTTAGGTTTGTGAAGATGATTAAAGAAATGGGAAGACTGTTATAAGATGGAGAAAAGAGCATGGAGGTCCTAGCTACTGTAAGAAATTAGCCAGAGCACACATATTCCTCCTGAGTTTTAGACAGGGGAGGATGTTTATGGTAAATAACAATAAGAATGTATACAAATAGTTTATTAATATATTTGGGCAGAACATTATTACTTTTGTAGCTGGAGCCCTCTCTCATTGGGCATAATAAGGATGATTTCAGCTTGACCAGTTTGAGAGACTTGGGGTTTTAATCCATTCACCTACTGCTGACCAGAGTTATCCTCTCCCTCTCTGTAGTCCTTGATTAGATAATTTGTTGGCTCAGCTGTGCTCAGTACCAGGCAAGAAGATTTCTATACTGTTAAAAGAAGAGGAAAACCTTGCTAGGTGATTGATTGTTCCAGGGAGTCATGCCTGAAGGGCATTTATGTTCTAAAACCTTCTGTAACAAAACCTTGTGGTAAAGGGAGTTGAGGCTGTTAAAAAGTGCTCCTTGAATAATTCTTTAGTGAGAATGTGAATACCAGCTGCAGGATGTTTGAGTAATCAGTACTGAGAAACACTCAGCAGTTTCAGGAAACAAAGGAGTGTCTGGCAGCAGCAAATACCTGTAAGCATAATTCCACTCCACGTGTGCAAGGAGTTTTTGGAAGACAGTGAATCTTCAGGCATGCTTTGTGCTGGCCTGTGTGCCTTAGATGTGACGTTAGTCATGTAGATGCTTTCAGAGGAGCTACCTGAGGGGACTGTCCTGAGATAAGCCAGAGTGGTATTACAGGGGAGAAAAACAAAAGCTTTGTAGTGTGTAGCTTTGATAACATTCAGAGCATTAAAGTGAAATTGCGATGAGACCTGACCTCACAAGCAGTGCCAAAGATTGCACTAAATACCCATGAGTGAGGCATTGGACAGTTGTGCCTCGTTCTTTTCCTAGAAGTACTCCTGCGAGCATTATTCAGTACAACTGACTGTTTCTCCTTTTAACAGTTTTTGTTTGAGACAACTCTTTTTAGATAATGCAGGTCAGGTATTCTTACCCTGAAGTTTATTGGGTAAGATGTTTTATGCTGCTTGTTTTCAGGTCAGTTTCCTGAAGAAACTGTAAAACTGCTCAGAAATTTGCTTGGCCACCTTCACACTGAATGGCTTCTCCCTCCATGGGACATGCCATAAGAGGTCCTGAGCCTACAGGAATGCTGGGCTCCATCACAAATGTGATTCGAGTTCATGTCCATCACACCTGCACTGGCTGAAAGTAGCCACCAAGCCACTGGGTGTCCCTGCTCTGGGTGCCTGGCTGCCATGCAGGTCTGGGACTCCCTGGGGATTATTTCCCTGCTCTGCAGGGGAGCCTGCACAGACACAGCCATGCGAATTCACCAAGCTGAATCATGGGGCCTCTATGAATCCCCTTCAGGATTGTCTCTGTTCCAAGCAGTAGGTGTCAGTGTGCATCTGTTGTAAAGGAGAGATGCAAGTGAAAAACTATTCAGGATTAGGAATACCGAATAAAGTTGCTTTTAGTGGGGTTAGTTTAATGTGTAGTAACAAAGTAGTGTAAAAAATAATTTACCACGTTTAAAGGAGGGATAATTTGAACTGAGCTTGTGAAAGTGTGAAGCTGGTGAGAAAATAATGAAAGCATCTCCTCTGTGTGGTGGGACGTCCCAATAACTAAGAGCATACCCCTTTTGTTTTGTCTTTAAACTCATTATTTTCACTTTCTGTATGCCATCACAACACTTCTCTTTGGTGAAAGTGTGTCAAATAGAGTAGTTTTCTTGAAATGGATCCCACATGAGTTTGCAGTATTGCATGTCACAGTGTGGAGAGTGGATAGTGTTTAGACCATATAAATACCTATGAATTGGAACTTCCTAGATCAGGAATTGAATCCCTAGGTCAGGGATTGAAATACTATATTCAGGAGGATGTCAGGAATTTCCCATGTGTTATGTCAAGACCATTTAAGCATCCTCAACTTTGCATAGCAAAATGGTAAAAAGCTTTTGCATCTATTGAGGCTTTCTTACTGTTGTGCTTGGCTTTTAAAAAAGCAAAAAGAGGAACAAAAGCCATCTTTGTTTCCTGAATGAAGCAGATGGACTGTAAGTACGTGTCAGCAACAGGTGACTTCAATACCAGACTGCAAATATAGTTAATGAATTAGGCCATTAGGTATTGTCAAGAATTAATTAAATGACTCCATAAATGAAAACCCAGGGAAAACACTATGCCAGTACATCAGTTTCCTAGTTTGCGCTGTTTGATGGTTTTTCTTTGCTCTTTTTGTCTAGATGCTAAGATACTTTGTTCAATAGTTGCTTGAATGAAAGAAATCAGGAGAAAGGGCATTGATATCCAACTTTTTGATATCCAGCATCTGCTATCAGAAGATGCCCAAGGCAGACCAGACAAGCTGCAGGCATTACATAAGATAATTCTCACTCTGGTGCACATCTTTTAAACTTAGGGAGTACTAGTTAGGGGGTGCAGGTGAGATTTAATGACGATGGAAAATAGCACCTTCTCGACCTTGAGGCTGAAACAGAAGAAAGGAAGCCATGCAGTAAGAGTTTGCCTTTTGTGTGAAGTAAGACTTTATTCAAAGCTGTTAGAGCAGCTCTGAAAGTGAGCAAAAGACTTGAGTAAACAAGCTAGACAAAACTGGGAAGTGCTGGAGGTCAGACTTCCCAGAAGGAAAAGCATGAGGGAAACCAGTTCAAAAGTTCATAGCATTTAAAACAGTTGTGTGCCTCTGTGCAGGTTTTCTGGCTGGCTTTCTGAAAGTAAAAGTCCCCCAGCACTGGGACGCTGTTGTACTGCCCTCAGTCACCTGAGGACACCTGTAATTTCTAAGAAAAGTTGGTATTTCTCAGCATGTTCTGCAACAGCAGCTGCATAATCTAATAAAGATTATCTAGCTGTGGAGATAATTGATTGTACGTATCAGCGAAATGGAGCAGATGTGAGGAGAAAATAATTAACTGAAGCAGAACGTGAGTTCCCATTGTCCAGATGATTTACTGAGCGAGGCAGATGCCTGCACAGGCAGGCACGCCAAGAGGGCCCTTCTAGGCATGGCTCACCCTGCCTGTTCCACAGAAATCCAACAGCAGAGTGGCTTCTGCCACCCAAGAAGTTTGGAAAGCCCTGCAGGATACACCCTGCCTGCCTGCTTGTCTGGGCTCTGAAATCCTTGCAGAGTGGTGTCTTTGGCTGTGTTTGCCAACGTCTGTCGTGTCCTGCAGAAGGCTCCAGTCCTAAAACCACTGTGGAACTCTCTCCCCGCCACCATTTGTTTTGGATGTGAAGTTCTTTGGTGTAAGAAAGGTTGGTGGAGAGTAACTAACACAATTTAGCAACACATTTAAATTAAGCTTCAAAATGAAATAGCCAGAAAAATTACCAACTGTGGAATTAAAAGGAAGTTAGTGTATCTAGAAAAACTCTGATTTAAAATCTCTGTCTTATTGAGGGGAGGCTAATAAAAGAGCATTAACTTATCACAGAGCTAAGGATAAACTTGGGCTCAGTACAATAAAATTAGAATATCAGACCTTCATTTTGTAGTCATCCACTCAGCTGGCATGTAAAGGGTACATACTTCCTTGTTATTTGTCAGTAGTTTGAAAATCACCATGTTACCGTCTTTCTTACAGAATCTGTATTGCCTGAGTAGGGCTTTTCTAGATGCAGTAAATTAATTGTTACATATCATTAAAAATTAGGGTAATGTACTTAAAACTGAATTTATGTTAATAAAGCACACAGTTAACTGTGAATTAGAATGTACTGGGGTGTTAGAAAAATTTTTATTGGTAGAAAAAACTATATCCTAGGGATGTTTTAAAAAAGCTAAAATCCAAGCAATCCTTTCTTCCTCTCCACTACCACTTTCCTGGCATGAAAACAGAGAAGAAAAGTGTGATATGGAAGGCAACCTCATTCAGTTAGGTTTGCATGTAGGTACAATAAAAAGGTGATACAGCATTAATCTACTCCCATGGGTGTAGGAGCTATAGCAAGCACATGAGTTGTATCTTATAATGTGGGTTATCCCACATTAGCACACTAGCACCTTCCTCGCTAATACGTCTCCATGGGAGACCAGGTCTTAAATTTTGGGCTGGGAAGAGGCCACATAGTTCCTCTAAGCAAACCAGAAGGCAAGCAGGGGGCTTGAAATGTGCACTTCAAATTCCAATGCCATCCTGTAGTTGATAGTCAAGATGTTAGATGTGAGAAGAGTGTGATCTCGCAAATTTTGTTTCCTGTATGCAGATGTTTTATCTGTAACAATAGGTACAGTAATAGTTGTTTGCATGTCTTCATGAAATTATCTGAATGACACAACTGCTCAGGTCCTGCTCAGGTAATGTGGAACATACTGGCGAGTCCATGACTGCTTTCCTGGTGTGCCACCACTCCGGTGACCTGTGCTGGGACTGGAGAGTAGCACTGAGTGAAGCTGGGACTGGCAAGGATGTGTGTGTGGTTAGAGCCAGGTGAGCACACTTGGCTCAGCCTGAAGCACATTGCAAGCTTGCAGCTGGGTGTTTGTGGGGAGGAGTCACACTGGTTTGTTGGTTTTGTTAAAATAGCTGTAGTGACCCCTCATTTATCCTTCTCTTCCTCTGTTGCCTGCCTTCTGCTCAAGTGACACTGAAACCCAGAAAAGCCACACAGTGGTTATCTGAGAGTGCTGCAGCTTCTCAGCTAGCTCTAACCCCATAAAGTGAAGTGCAAAGTATTCAAGGGAAACAGAGAGGAAACCTTTGGGTAACAAAGGCAAATCAGCTGTTGATGGTTCTGCAATGAAATTATTTGAGAGAAACTGGTGAAGACTGAAAACAATGAGTGTCTATTTGGGCAGGAAGAATATTTTGTACCCAGCTGACTACATTTTACTGGGATTTATCAGCCAGTTGTACTCTGCTGATACAGAGATAATTTGAAATGAAACCCCTAAGCCTGTAGTTTATTTGACTTAAGGGAGGTCACAGAAAGGATGAATAGGCAGTGTCACCTTATTTGCAAGGCTGAGTCAGTGGATGAAAAGGGGCAGGATGGGACTTGGCAGAGGGAAGAAAGCAGTGACACCTGTGCCAGGTCAGCTTGTTCAGAAGGGCTCTGAACAGCAAATGATAATATCTACATTTGTGTCAGCTCTTGCTGAGCCTGATAACAGACTGAGGTAAAAAGGAGAGAAGCATGTGTAGATTTTATTTTTTTAAATGTGAAGTAAAGAATATAAATATGTTCTTTTAGCATGTTCAAAGAGAGAATAGTTAAACAGAGAAGTTAAATATTAAGTGTATACATTTTCAAGTTAGCTTCAAAAGGCAAAGACTGCTGTCATAAGGCTAAAACATGAGCAGCAGAATACTCACATGAAAAGAAAAAATCTGTAACATATTGAGGTTGAAATACTTGCTTTTTGACCTTTGCCTATTTCATGGGAATGACAGGGAAATTCATGGTTGAGGATATTGACTTGTCAAAATGTGCCACGTCACAGTGGGAGTGAAAATTTCCCTTAAGGGAACTTGTGACATGTGCACACAGTTGTTGTTGAGACAGCTCAGACCTTTAAATCTTAGCACTGCAAAGAGCAAGAGATTTTAAGACCTTATTTTGATAATAAGATCTACCTTTATTCTCTTTTTTTTCCTTTTATACAGTACCCACGTATCACAAGTCAGTAGCAACGTTCCTGCTACAGGAGAGTAAGTGTCTTTTACAATTTTGTAGCTATCTTTCTTGGAGCTTTTAAAAATATTTCTGGTTATGCTTTTATTTCTCTTTAAGAGTTGTTCTTGCATAAACAAAAAAAAAAGAGACAGTGTTTCCCAAAGCAATTAATTTATAAGGATAATAAATCACTTCCTCCTGAAAACTTCTCATGCCCTTGGTTCTTTGCTCACTGTGCCTGTGATGTTTTGCTTAGGCAGAACTTGAATATTTTGAGAAGGTTTTTGCAATGTTGTCTTCTTGCTCTTGTTTGCTCCCTCTTGCATCCCAGCAGAGGATGTGACCTGACCCTACTGCTGTAACTGGGAGGAGCAGAGCTAAAATGAGTTGGCTCCTTTTGTGGAGCTGGGAATTCCCAATGGCTGATGGGTTTGCAGAACTGATCTTTATCAATAGTGAAATACAGACATACTTGCTTAGTTAAACCATCTGGGCTTTTGCAGTTGCTAAGGTCTTCTGACTTTTCCAGGAACTGCAGTCTCAGCTGGCTTTCAAGTATAGGAACTTAGCACAGCTCTTGTAAAAGAGAAATGAGCCCAAGCACGGAGTCCCATACTGTAGCTACTCAGTTGAAAATTAACCAGTAAATCTTGAAACAAAATTTTAATTATGGAAAAAACAGTAGAAGCCATACATGGACTTTGGGCATGCATGTTTGAAAAACCCATTCTTCAGTGGCTGCTTAAAGCATTGCAAGAAACAAGAGATGGGATGGAGATGTATACAAAAATGTGCTTCTATGTGATCTCTTTGGAAAAAAGAATATTTTTCCCATAAAAACTTCCTCTGATGAAGGAAGGGAATATTACAAGAGAATGGCAGTACCAAAAAGAAAATTTGTTTGTGTTGAAAGTTCAAGTAGTCCCACACCTGTAACTGATGAAGTTTCAGGGACTCTCTTGTGGTGGATTGTGTGGAAGCCCTCTTAGTGCCATAGAGTGTGAGGGTGGTCTCACACCAGTGTCAGGGTGGCTGTGGATACACAAGAATATGGCCCAAGAATGTGTAAAAATGGCATGAACTTGGAACAAAACCCATGACTGGTCACAATGTATGTGAGGAGTATGTAGTAAGCTACTGCATATTGTCATCCCTCTGAGACAGCAGTGAATCGTCTTCTTGCAGGTGATCTTGCAGGTTGCCTTACTGAGCTTGTTTTGCACAACAGACTTGACCCCTGTCAGCATGGCTGGGTATCAAATGCAGTTTTGTCACAGCAGGGGCTTTTCAGTGAGGATGAAAGTTAGGTACCAATGCCTGTAGTTTCAGTAAGTAAAATTAGTTGTTTTACTGAAATTTCATACATCCCTAGAAATAAAAAGAGCAATATTAATTGGGAAGGCTCAGCTATTCCAAGGGACTTGAATCAGCAGATATCTGAAGATTTTGGCATTGCTTGCATATGTCATAGCACTGGAACATTTTGTGCTGCCATCCTAAGCAAACATAACCCACAGATACCTTTGTTTTATTTATTGTTGCAGAGAGGGAGCTCCACAAAATCTTTGAGTTCAATTGACCTTATTTTTCGGCTTGACAGGTATTTAGAGAAGACAATCCGCTCAGCCGTGGAGCAGCATCTCTTTGATGTTCATGGCTCAGGCGGCCAGAGTTCAGAGGACTCTGAATCCGGGACGTCTTCAGCCTCTTCTAATGTGTCTGCCAGGCAGAGGAGGCGACACCACAAAGAGCAGGAGGAAGCCCGGAGAAACAGAGACATGTATGAGCCTGATTTCCTTGTTTTGGAAAGTATATTTAAGTCTACCCCAGTCATGTCTTCTTATCAAGGCAATGCTACATTCTGTTATGAAAGGCACTGACCTTTGCCCTGGCTGCAGTGCCCATGCAGAGCATCAGTCAGAGCTGGGAAATTTAGAGTATACTAGATCATGGAGTGGAGCAAAGCATAATAAGAATCTAGGGGGTAATGCAGTCAAGTTTGTAATTACAGTATTTGGAATTGGTTACTTATGGTATTTGTTGCATTAGTGGAAATTCCCAAGCAGTTGATTCTGCTGCCTTTAACTTTTTTTAGATAAAAACATTGGGCCCAGCTGCTTTTCTGAATTCAGCATGTCTTGAGATATAAAATAAGATGAAGTTCCTCTTTTGTGTGTGGAGGCACAGCTTGTGTTTGGGTTTAGTGAGAAGATTTGGGAGTTTGTCTGAAATTAGAAGAATCTTCCTTTTGATTAATCAGAATCTATTTTTTTTATCCACCCTATTACGCAAAGTTTAAACATGTTTTAGTAGTGAATTTCCTTAAATGTCTGTCAAAGAGTAAAGATAATACCTGTTTTTCCATTCATACTCTTCTAGTTGTGACATATATTGTGTGGTACAAATGTATTACCGCTGCAGCTTTAACAAATTTGTTACACAAAGCACAGTTGTATTTGAGAAACTGTAGCACAGACTGCAAGGCCACCTTCAATTTCTGTGTTTATCGGTAACACAGCACTAGTTCTTGTAAAGAATTTGTATGCCTCACTGCAGTGTTGGATTGCTGGGATTTGAAGTTGGTTCCAAAATAAACATCTAGTCTCCTGTTGTTGTTTCCTGGGTGCTGAATTCCCCAAATTCTATTGGATCTGTACCTTCTTATATGAACCTACTTTTATACAGGTGCATAGCCATCAATATCTCATGTTAATATTGCATCCATGGTATTTCCCAAAATGTGTAAATGTGTCAGTGCTGATGTACAAAAAACGTTGTACAAAAAATCTGGAGTTACAAAAAAAGAAAAAAAAAAAGACACCATTTTCATAGGGAATCAAAATACGCTGTAAAGGTGGCCTGGGAAATTGGCGCTTGAAAGTCACCAAAGTATCTGTAAAGCAGCTGTAAAGTAGTTTTTCTTGTTAAGTAGCCCTGCTGACAGGCTTCTCAGGTAAGTAGGTCAGAGACTGGCTAGTGTACATGTTCAGAAGCATATAGTACTGCAGGGCTTTTCTTCAACGCTGTGTTACAGAGCTGCCTCTAGATATGATTGACACAGTTATTCCGACTCGATCCAGAAAGCTGGAGCCAAGGATTTTTTTGAAGTTTTGAGGGCTGGCTGTGGTCCAAATTGTTTTCCCCTGTTTCCCTTAGGTCAGATTGCTGGGATTTCTCTGGGTGAATTATCAAAATTGAGAATTACTTTCAAAACATCTTTCTGTTGTTTTTTTGATTGTTAGTGATTTCATCTGCTTGCCTTGTGATAGATCACAAGAGGATTTGTAATGTCACAAAATGGGACTACAGGCAGGAAGAGTGTTTATTACAAAATCATGTAGGTGAACACCCAGGCTTTGAAGATTACATGATCTACAGGCTCTGAATGTGTAATTGATCTGCTGAAGGGTTTCTAAAAACTTCCACAAAGGCAAATGTGTTATCTTAGAAGTTTAGTCAGAGATTTTTCATACCTCTTTGTATCTCTTTTCCACCAACAAAACCTAGAGATCTGTCATCTAGAAAGTCACTAGAACTTTCTAGTTTTGTTTTTGTTCTGAATACTTGCCATGCTGGCACTGTCCAGATATTGCAGAGTAACTGGTTTCTTATCACACCAGTCAAGTCTAGATGAGTTCTCCTGCTGTTCATGAAAGCAGGCTTTGGAGTTGCACAGCACTGTGTAAGACAGCCACACAGAGTTAGCAATGTTCTCGTTTCAGTGTCAAGTGTAAGCAAGCTGCCCTTAGCCTCTGGAAGGGTAATGAGACACCTTGTGTTTTTCCTGATCCCATGGTGTACTGGTGTATATGTGCATCTTCACTGCTGGGGAAAGTAGAGGGAGGACTCCTTAAGTGGTAGATGGAAAGCTGCCTGCTGAAGGATCCAACAGGGCAAGATAAGTCATATGCCAGGCTTCTGGTAAACATGCACAAAGCCTGCAAGCCCAGAGAGTCACAGCGAGAGCATCACGTGGTGACATAGGGCTGGCTGTCCCATCCTCTTCCCAACATAGCAAAACAGTCCTCTGTCCTAGCAGTTGTGTTACCATTGCAGAGGTACATTCCCTTTTATGTTTTGTGTAATTCCCAAATAGAAATCAAGCATTTGACTAAAGTACCACACAGTCCTGCTCTTGCATTTGAGGGTTATGAGTAAGAGGGCCAATTATGCGGTGTCATGCACCAAAGGAGATCCCTGGATCGCAGCTATGAATCACCTTTCTAAATTAAAAGCTCATGTCTCAAAGGAAAATGTGCTTCATTCTCTCTACAGAAATTCCACAGGCAGCCAGGGGCTAGTCCAGCTTCCATGTGAAGGCTTCTATGTGTTTGGTTTAGTGGCAAATGAATCAGATCCCAAACATGGATCCTCACAGCTTTCTCACCTGAGGTGTATAAAATTGGCTTTTGCTCCTCAGTGGGATTTGGCATTGCACAATGTGTGTTTTTGTCTGGATTGGGAAGAACCAGAGATAGTGGTTTCATTGGGAAGAGATGGTGTTGCCAGAACTGCACCAGTCATTATGATGTAGTTCTCTATTGCTACCATAAATGTAGCAAGAGGGCCTTTTAAACAACATCTTGCTGTAATGTCCCTTTTCTTTTTAGGGAAGTTGTCAACAAGGAAAACATTCCCTCTGGATTCAGCAGTCTTGAAGATTGTATTCTAGCTGCTCAAGATGTAGAAAAATTACAAGACACCAGCTCCGGATACCTTAGTGAAAGAAATAAATCAAAACGTCAGAAATCCAGCACCAAGCTCTCAGAGCTTAATGACAACCAGGACAGTCCTGTGGTAAGCCAGAGCACTGCACTGTTTGATGTCTGTGACTAGGATGGGAAAAGCTCTTTTTTTATTTCAGTGCACATCTGGTTCCTTTAGGTAGCCACTTTTGCCTGTTATACAAGCCTCAGTGCCTATTCTGGACTATGGGAAACACTGGCTCTGACACTTGTAATCCTTGTGATGCAGCAACTGAGAAGCTGTATTTCTGCTATGATACTCCATGCAGTCATTTTCTCTTTCTGCAAGTATTTGCTTTTTTCTTTTGAATTTGGTGAAGCATTTTGGAAAGCACAAAAGGATATAGGTCTTTTTCCCAGTCTTTCAAAAGCCTTGCAAGGAATTTGGAACCTTAGATGTAGGTTCTCATATTCAGGTCAAGTTTATTTTCATATTTCTGCTAAGTTCTGAAATTAGATTTCAAGTGACTACTTGATAATGAGATGGTAAAGGTATTTTATGCCATTTCTCTAAAGCCTGTGTTTTTTGCAATTTGGAAAGCACTTAGAAGTGTGTCGGTCAAAAATGTGATTCCTTTATCCACCTTTTACTGAAGACATCAATGACTTCCTTATAACATCATTAAAATCTGGAATGCTGTAGAATTTTTCCAGCATATTCTCGTGTGACCTTCACATTAGAGGACAGTTTGCCTACTTCTACAAGCTGTAGAATAAAACTGGTTCACCTTTCTTCCCTCTCAGCCAGAGCAAGCACTGACTGGAGTGTCAGCAGCTGAGAAACTGTGCTGTGCTTCAGCGCAGGGTCTGCATGCAGTGGCAGAAGCACTGTGCCTGCAGCAAGCATGCAATACATGGTTAACAGAAACATCAAGAGCTGTCCTGACCTATAGGGCATTTCCTTCAGGGATGCTTGATTAAGTTTTAGAGCCTGCTGAAAGCAAGTTGTTAGTGTGACCTGTTTTTGGACTCATTTTGTTTAGATCACAAAATTGCAATGATCTAATGTTCTTACCCTGTGAAGAGATTCTAGAGAGAGGTGGATTTGCTTTTCATTATGATCAAAAGAAGGCAAGATGCCAAAAATTGTACACCATGCTCAATTTAGTAACTTAAATTTAGTGTTTAGTATTCACAATCTTCTCATGTGATACTTCATGAAAGCAGAGTGAGATAGACACATTCACACTTCTGTCTTTTCTTGTAGCCATGCATTCTAAGATAGGCAAAGGTCTAGTGCTTATGATCTTTTCATCACCTTCTCTCTGTGCCTGTGGAGTGTAAAGCAGTTTCAATGTAAATGAGAGTTTTTATCAGGACTTAAGAAAGGAAGCACTGATGGAAGTGTCCTGTTTTGCTGCAGACCTGAAATGCATTCATGAAGTCTTCAACTGTGCCCAGAAGAAATGTCCTCAAACTTATTTGTGTCCACTGGACTTCACCCTGCCCCCTCATTTTTTGATCTCTTGAAGGGCAAAGGTTGAAAGGAATGTAAAATGAAGTAATCTTATATTAAAAGCACGTTGGCCAAGATGACCAGCAGTGTGATTCTTGCTTGCTCTGCTATAGGAAGTGTCAGAGTGGGATGACCAACTGCAAGTATCATTATGAAACATCTTGCAGAGAGTGTGGTGCTATTGTTTTGGAAGGCCAGAAGCTGCTTTTAAAGTTTTAATGAGTGTGTTTATTACATACTTGAATTTCAGAGACTTCCAGAAGGATGTGTGATGGTTTAGGTTTTTTTTGGCTACACCTTTACACATCAAATAATAACTCCAATTAGGCTACCTACTTGGAGTATAGCATAACATGCACCTTAGCTTTTACAAATGGGCCTTTGTCATGTAAACAAGTTTGTGATGTTGTCTCTCTTTAAACACCCTTTCCTGAGTATTCCTTTTTTTCAAAGCCTGAAAGAGTATGTAGGACAGTGTGGGGAAGCTTTCCTCTTAGCTGTCTGATTTCATCTGGCTCAAAAGCACAAGTCAGCGGTGGGGAAACTGTCACTTCCACTTAGACTCCCAGGCAAACCAACCACAAAGCATTAAAAGCTTGTAACTGCATTTTAGGGACATGGTAGCCAGGTATCAGTAGGACTTGAAGAATCAAATTAGGTAAGGCTGGAATGACTGACCTGTGTCACCATATGGGGCTGGAGGTGTAGCAGGTGAGAGAAGGCTGTGACTGCCCCAAGAAGTCTGTGTATGTAGTTTCCAGGGCAGGAACCCACTTCCTCCTATGTAAGAGGGACTTCCCCAAAACCCAGGGTAAAAAGCCTCCTGGACATGTGCTTGAAGTGGCCATATGGCTTGTCCTCACAGTACTCAACAGTGTTAATGTTCTTAATGGTGGCCAAGACAAATCTCAGAACAAGAGGTCATAACCAGTTGGATTGCTTGCCCTGCATTCATATTAGCCCAGCATTACATCTGTGCAGTCTCTTTTCATTCTTATGCCTGTTTAAGAAGAAACTAAGGAAGGGTTTGGCTGAGAAGTAGAGGATTTTCTAACATGTACATAAAGGAGTTCTGCTGAGAGGTTGCTGTGGATTTTGGTACCTGCTCTTACAAGAATTGCACAGACCAAAGAATTGCTCCCAAGCCTAGGCTGTCTGTCAGGCTGTGAAACGGAGCAGACAGGGTACCATGCAGCATTATTCTGTTCAGACGTTTGAGGTTGTCTGATGAAAGAAACAAAGGAGTGAGCAGCTGGGTTTTCTTGCAGTTTAGGGGACAATAAAGTGTGGGATTTGTTTAGTGGGCAGTAGTGTGTGTGTTACCATTTTCCTAGAAATCCTGTTGGCTATTTCTGTATTTGATCTGTTTAATGGCCTGCAGCTTGAATCCGTTTCTCATATGTATCTTACTGCTTTAATATTTGTTGTATTGCAGAGTATGGAAAGCTTCAGCTCATCCAAACCTATAGACAGAACAGCTGATGACATGGAAATTTTATCTGAAGAAAGGTAATTTTAATTTTATTTTATGTATATATAAGTTTTCCTTTCCCTCTGGTTGTAGTACAACCTGAGAGATCTCCCACCCGGGCTGTGGGGGTGACATGTATGCTGCAGAACAGATTACCCACCATGTTAACTTCCAAGCAGAGCTTCATGGAGGCACTTAGTGTGTTGTGTGGGCTTTGCCCTGCAGCAAATGCCACCAAGGCTCTTTTCCCAGCCTGACAGGAATGTCACTGAAGGTGCTGATCATGCAGACTTGAAAAGAAATCAGCTGTGCAGCACCTGAACCAGCACGCTCCACACAGGAATGCAGGGCCTGTCTCACCTGGCCTCTGGGTTGGGAATCCAGCCCTTTCCCTTGTGCTTCAGTGTTCTCTTGAGAGCTGTGCAGCCTCACTCTGCTCACCTGAGATGGCAATTTCTCTCAACAATTACATTTGTTTGGATAGTTGTATTGGTTTGAATTAAGTGCACTGGAATTAAATGACATAATTGTTCTCAAATAGCTCCTGAGAGGAAGCAAAAAAATGCATACTTTAGGAGCTTGAAGTACTGCAGCTCAGAGGGTCCCTTCATTTACTGTGTGATTTAGTGAATGTGCAGGAGTAGCAAGAATGTAAAAACCGTTGTGTGCAGAAGTCTTGCTTGGCTTTGTTACAAGTCTGGTTTTGTGTTTGTAATATGTTGGTTTGGTTTTGTTTTTTTATAGCAAAGAAAGTGAAAACGATGAGGTTTTTTTCAGGCATTCTCAGGTTAGTATTTTTTTTTTTTTGTTGCTATTTTTGTGTTTCAGTTTTGTGGTCTCTAAATGAGCATTTATTGAGCAGAAACAAGTAGTTATGCATATAGTTTTGTTTGTCGCAAGATAAATGGAGTTAGCATGTACTTTTTCTGTCCCTAACCCCTGCTTTTTACTTACATAGTTTAGGGAGACTCTCAACCACTGGGTAGTCTGATAGCTTCTGCTTCAGTCCCTTTGATCCCTCCTTGCCAAAAAGGGAAGGATCATTGAAGTCAGCACTGTGGTTTAAGTGAAGTGAAGTTCTGTTATTAATTATGGCAAAGAGGACACCTGACTGCTTATCTGCCAGGGTAGTGAGATTAGCTTGTCTCTCTTGATTTCCCTAAAATCATTTGGCCTTTTATTTATCATTTCCTAGTGCAACCTGTTGCTCTTGAACATAGGTGTCTGTAATTCATTTGTCTTAGAAAACTGGATCACCTGCTTTTTTCAAAGTTGATGGCTGGGATGGATGTCAGGAGGGGAGATGTGATGTGATGTTGATGGCAGCAGTTTTTCCTCCAACTTTCCATTTCTCTTACACACACATGCACACACACTTCTTGCACTAGCTTTATGATGTTTTCAGAGATTGGGGTTGGGTTAGGTTGAACCCCTTTGCTGTCACTGGTTTATTTGGGTTTACTTAAAAGACCCCCAGACAGCCAAGCATTTAAAATACTGGGGAGAGTTATCTAAGGTACCTCTCCCTCAATTGTGCATCCATTTAAAATGGGCACAGTAGAGCAGCTGTAGCCACTGTCTGATTTCTCTGGCTGTCTGGAGGTGACTGAAAGCTGGTAGTATTTTTAAATTAGACTCTTCTTGTATTTCTTTTAGAAATAAAAGCCACTATGCATTTATTGCCTTTGAAAGTCTTCATTTCTGGTAGGAACTATTTCCACCTAGCAGGAAAGGTAAAAGGTTGCTAACAGCTAAGCTCTGATCAGCTGTGTAGTAGCTGGTTAAGTCTGTGGGATCCTGAAATATGTAGCCCCTGCAAAGAGTGTTCAGGGCTGCCTTTGATCACTGCTCTGACTGGGCTAACATGGATCTCCTACCTTGCTCCCAGAGGGTCAGTAATCTCTTGCACTTGCTCGTGAGCCGTTGTATTTTCCAGAGCCTAGATTTTGCAAGAGCTTGTTCCTCACGTACCCACTGGCATGTGGAAAAGCTGCTGTTGCTGCCATGCCATCCAGTACTCTATTAAGCTTTTAAATTAGCCTGGTGGAGATACATTTAAATATGAAATCATAACCTTAAAATAAACTACACCTTAGGAAAAGTTTTAAAGTGTAACATTTTAACTACAGAAGAGGATCTTAACCCAGAGATTATGTATTATATAGGAATTACAAGGTCAAGAAAATGTTACATTCCGGCAGAGTTGTTTAACATTCTTTCCCCCTCATAAGCCTTTTGCTTAGGGCAGCTTAAAGATATACGTTTCATTACAAACAACTCATTCAGGTTGAGGAAGGGACAAGGTTCTTCTTGTTCTTTTCTCTTTCTCACCCTGCCTCCAGTCTAAAAATGTTAGGAAAATGATTTGGAATTTGCTATCAGTTTTGCTGACTTGGGTCTCCGTGAGACTGTAAAAATACCTTGAAAAACACAAGCCTCAAATGAATTTTCAGTGGTTTTGTGACTTTCATAATCTGCTCTTGGAAGTAGCTAAGTTCCAGGATGAAAAACACGGGTTTCTAGTACCCAGGTTTTGATAAGGGAAAAGTATTTAAGATTCATACCAACATGGCAACAAGTGTAAAAGGGTGTTGGCATGGCTCAGGTAGGGGGAAGGCAGCAGAATGGCTGTGTTCTTGCATCAGGTTGTATTCCTAAAATGTGCTTAAGGATGCTTCCTGCTCGGGGCTGTAATGGAAGATCACATGTAGGGGAAGCAAGCCTTTTATGTAGAATTGATTGGAATCCATATGTAATTGAACAGAATAAAACCTCCTGATCAGAATTAAAAAAAAATCTTTCTGTTGCCATTTATTTCTTGCTGTTTGAGCTACTCTTTATGCTCAATCTCCATTGGAGCAGGGAGAATGAATGCAGCTGACTTATCCCCAGGCTGCTTAGATCTGTAGTTACTGGTGCCTGTAAAGCATGGCTGCAGAAGCAGCTTCTAAAAAGCAGAATTCAAGTACCTGCTTTGAAGATTTTTTTTTGCAGTCATTTATGTAATATCTGCAGTGAACTGTGACTGCCAACTGTTAACAACATCATCAACTTGTTGCCCCCTTGATTTGTAAGAAATTGTGGTGCATCCATACCTAAAGCAAAGTAGTTCTTCCTTACTTGATCCTTTTCCTAGAGAGTGGCAGCCGGTGGTGTCAGGAAATCAAAAAAGAAAATAAGTGATGGGAATATTGAAATATCTACCACTCTATGGGTTTGGAGCATTAATGCAAAGGAAGTTAAACATCTGCTTTCTTGAGTCTCCTGGGTTTGTACCACCATTGTTCTTCAGAACACCTAATGATTTATTCATTGTATTAGAGCCTACATCAATGGGCAAGGAAAGGAGAGTAACTGGCTGCAGGCAAGGCACAGGCCTGTTTTTACACACCTTTTAAAGATTTCCAATTATTGAAATTACTTCAGGAGGAAGAAGACATTGATATGATCTTTCTAATATATGTGTAATGGAAATGTTTGACTATCTGGGAAGTGGCCTTATATCTGCTACAGATATCTTTTAAGAGTCTTAATAAGTCAGGAGATTGTACACTTTTCATAGAAAGACATTTATCTCTAATTAGTATCAGTAGTGGTGATGAAATGGTATTCTCAGGTTGCTCTCTCTGAAATTGTTAAAATCTAGGTACGTTCCTCTCCTTCGCATTTCTTTGTTGTTAAAAATAGCACCTATTTTGGAACTCGGTGCTTTATTTCTTTCCTTGCCTTAAAATATCACCTTTAAATACTGTGCTGGCAGTTTACAAGCAGTTTATCGACTGGTACATTTGGCCACTGACCAGTCTTTGTTTGTGAGGTACACAGGCTATTTAAATCCTGGCAGGAAATTTGTCAATGGACCTTAGAGAAATATTTAAGTCCTCCCAACCTGGAAGCAGCTTAAAAGATACTGAATGGTGAATTAGCATTTTTCCACGTACAGCTCTCACAATAAACACATTTGTAATCAGACTTAGCGTCAAGCTGCATGAGTTATTAGTGCTTGGCAAAGTATCATCTAGTTTTTCATTCTGTTATAATGTTTCAAAAAGGCCATTTATTGAAATGAACAGGAAATACACACCTTACACAAATACAATGCAGAACACTCTTTACAAATACCAGGGTATTCATCAGATTTTTAGAACAGTAAAACAGCCCTGGTTGAAAGGGACCTCAAAAGATCACCTGATCCAACCTTTTGTGGGAAAGGAAGCCTAGATGAGATTATTTAGCACCCTGTTCAATTGCAGGGATTGATGGAACTGAATCCAGATAAAAACATTTATTCACATGATTTGTCTACTGGGCAACTTTCTTCCCTCTTCATGAAAATTACTTGTTTTTCTCTGCTCAAAAGGGAAAAGATGCACCAAACAAATCATTAGCTTTCTGTAGATAAAAAAAAGTAAACGTGCCTTAGTGGCATGTACTAAGGATATTGAAACATTTGGCCGTGCTTCTGGATTCACAAGGAAAATAGATCCAGAAATGCTGGGGTGGTTGGTTTTTTTTTGGCCCGTTTTCTTCCATATCAGAGTATGCAGAATGTTTACTAGATTTTCAAAATACCTGCAGAGGGAAAATCTGCATGCTGACTGCCCACTAGACTATATTTGAGAGAATTATGCCTAAGCTGTTCTTAACAAATCCAAATAGTTTATGTAGTAATATAATCCTGTCTGTTCATCTAGCTGTGTGTTTGTTGGTGGGTTTATACATATCACACTACATGTTTATGTACATGCATTACACTTCCTTTTCCCTACTGCCCTCTGTGAGGCATTACAGCTAATTTGTTTTGGAGTGCCAGAAGCACTCTCATCAGGCGCTGTCACAGACACGCGCACTGTGTCTCTGGATGGTGGGAATGGCAGGGATTTCTGCATAAATGCACACGACGTGTGGTATGTGCAGGGGGAGCAGTGCTGAGACGAACAGCAATTGCTTCTAGGTAGTACTAGCTGATGAATCATGTACTTGACAGAATTCTGCTTTTTTTTGGTTTTTTATTCCTGTTACTGGATGCTTCTGTGAATATTTTGGCGTTTTCCCAGAGTCCACACTGCGTCCAGCTGAGATGCCAAACCCTACTGCTGTTTGGATTTGCGCAACACCGCTTTAATACCCAGAGCTTCTCCATAAATAGTTCTGCTCTCCCCACACCCAGCTAGAAAACAACCACAGGAAATCGGGGAATGTGCAGCCAGCACAGCTTAGCTGGCACTAATTGATCTGAGCCAGCACAGCCTGCATGAGAGCATTCGTGTACGTAGCCTGCACTGCTGGCTGGCTGCGGCTGCTGCCTCGGGAGCTCCGGTGCCTGCTTTTGAGAAGGCACCATATTGCTACAGCCTCACAGCAGCAGCAGTGTTTTTGTTGTTGCTTGAAGGAGTTGTGCTCCTGTAGGAAGTATACAGAGCCACCCCCTTCCCTCTCCCTTTCTCCCTGCCTCCCTGCCTCCCTCCCTCCCATTTCATCCCACTCCACTACTGGAGGCTTTCTCAGCTGCATACAGTTGTCAGGGCAGGCAGTCTCGGGAACTTGCAGTAGCTTTCTAAAGAAGGAAAAATTCAAGGAAGGCAGATGGACAGATGTTTTTACTGGTGTGAGTGAGCAATTAGTACACAGGGGTCACCAAGCAAGGGATTTGGATTTGGAGCTGGAAGCATCAGGATCTGTTTGGATCTTTTTAGCTAAAGGCATGAGCTTAATGCTACTGTGACTTGCAGGGGTTCTTTTTCCCCTCTGCATCCTGAGACATTTTTTTTTCCTTTCTCATTTCCTTGGGTTTATGGAAACATAGCTGACTTCAAGCATGAAGATTCAAGAACATCCAAGCATGCCTGAAAACAAGTTGCAAAGAAATCAAGATGCTGATGATCAGGAAAACAGCTTTGTATCTGAAGTGCCTCGGCTAGATTTAACATCACTGTGCGATGACAGCAACTGGGAAGGTAGGATTGCGTGATGGCTGGTTGTGTGAGTGAAATGGGAGAGAGGGAAACCTGAGTGGGCTGGGTGTATCTTTATGTGACCATGTTGCCTTGTTAAAAACAATGAAAGAGCAATTTTGTCCTGAATATAGAACTGAAAGTTTGGAGAAACTGGAAGCAAATACTGAATGGTACTAACTCTGATTGTCACTTAGAGGTGGAAAATTAAATGTTTTATTATTGAAGTTACTTTCATGTTCTATTTAGTACTGTTAAATCCCTGAGGATTTCAAGATACCTTATTTCGTAGTGACTGGTCAATGGTAATTAAGCTAGTCTGCCCTACACTTCAAAGCAAGTGGGTATTTCAGAGTCTAAAAACAGCTTTTCTTCAGTCACTGTTTGGAAATAATGATTCGCACCTGAAAAGCACAGCTGGTATGCTGTCTGTCTGTTAATTTGTCTTACAAAGAACCTTTTTTGTGTATGCTGTGAAGGAATTCCGATGACCACCTTAAATGGCAGTGTTAAATTGATTGTATGTCATATAAATTGCTGTATGACTATTTCTTAGCTTTCCTCTGTAGAGTACATGCTTGGTTGGGTATACACTTACTTGTTTAAGGGGGGAATCTGGGCAAACTCTGTGGGTGGGACCTTCCTTTCATTTGAAATTGAGATGAAATGGAGGTGTCCAGTAGTTTTGGGATCAAACCCTTTTCTAGTTACAGAGTATGTGTCTGTGTACAAGCCAGAGTTCTTCTGTTAGTTTATGCTTTAGGAGTGAAAGATGGGTTTTGACAGGGAAGAAACAGGAAAACGCAAATGTGGTGTTTTAATAAAGCAAGAGAGGGAAAATGTGGAACTAATTCATTACTCTAAAATAACAATCTCTGAAGAACACTGAGAAGGGAAGTTCTCTGCTCCTGCCTCCACAGCATACGTGACCGAGTATGTTTTGCCTTTCCCTCTAGGAGGTGAGTAGTTATGACACTTCAGGTACAAGTAAAGAAAACCCGCAGCCATGGCTGCCTTTGATTCAGCCAGGCAAGCAGTCACCGTGCACAGGAGGGAATTTTTCCATTTGCTGGCTAGGTGGGGATTCCCTGGCTGGAATCACCACACACGCAGCGCAGCTGATCAAAGCACCACAGAAGGGCTCCCAGGCAGTCCTGGCTGCTGGATGTTTACTGAGGGGCTAATTAACAGGGCCCTGCAGGGTCTCAAGCCAGGGTGAGCACGTCTGTGTTCTCAGAGGTGATGTGTGGCTTTAGCTGTCCTGTGAACCTTGGGGAATAATGACTTTTTTTTCCTTCCTGCATTACTAATAGGAGTCATATGAATGCATGAAGGGGAGAACACAGCTCCTTTCTGCCTGCCAGAGGCTTTCCCATTGTATGAAATAAGTTGCTTCTTTGGTACAACTCCGTCTTAGTAGGCATGCTCTTATGTTTGGATTCTAGCTTCCTTGCCCTGCAAATATGAGGCAGGATTATGGGCACATGTGACTGTGCTTCTCTGTGATTGCTCCTTCCTCCCTTCTGTTCACTTGTATTTTGCAGGAGGAGGAGGTGGGCAGCTGCAAAAGAATCAGCTGTCTGGGGTGAGAGAGACATCATCTTCTGAAATGCGTGCCTTCCAGAATCACCATTTTGTTGGTGTGGGTGAACAGCAGCAAAATGGTGCCTTCTGTGTCTCAGAAAGGAGAGACTTGAGTCTTTCCTAGCTGTGGATATGGAATCAAGCTTGCAGCAGCCAGAAAGAGAAATACTTAACATCAACTCCAAGACTGCTTCTGTAGCTAACAGCAGAGTCTGTTGCTGAGACTGGCTTTGCAGGGCAGGGTTGTACCACCCATCCATGCCTCTAGCAACCAGGACATCCTCCCTTTCCCTACCAGCCAACCCGAGTCTCCCAAACCTACACAAATCTCTGCAGGATCCATGCCACAGCTCTGATTGCATCCCCAACAAGAAACAGAAAGGACTGTGCCTTCAAATGCCCTAACACTGGGCTGTTTATTGCTTTGCTCTAGCAAATTTGGTAGGTCCATGTCTTGGGAAATTGCCCATTCTTTCAGGACAAAGTTGAGCTAATGTTTGGCGTCACGATCTTCTATATCATACTGTAGGAAATACAGACCATCTAGTGACCAGGGCAACTGCTGGGACTTGCACAAGTGATGTGTGAGAACAATTACAGGTTGAGGACTTGCCTTCAGCTGTAGCTGTCACTGCCTCCAGTCAAATGTTAGGAAAGAGCCTTCAACAATGGGCACAAAATTACACAAGACAACCTTGTCCATTGACTAGATTTTATTCGTCACTCAGGCAGGCTCTCCATCATTTAAAGAGCAGAGCTGCCTTAAAAAAAGTGCTGCCATAGTTCCGTGCCCTCATTCAGGGGCAGGTGAGCTGCCAGGTGAGCTGGCAGGCCCTTTGCCCTTCATGTTATACTAGAAATAATTTCTACCAGATTTTTTTTCCCATAATTTTCATCTCCTAGTCAAATCTGTACATAAGGAGAGATTTGCTGTACTTCTCCAGGCTGTGTTTCCTTTACCTAAAGCTGAGCATGGAGAGGACAGAGACATTTTCTCCCAGCTGCCCGCAATGCAGCCTCACACTTTGCCATGTGCCCACCTTCTGCATCCCACTCACCTGCTAAGTATAGAGGCTTATGTAGGAATCATCAGGCTACTGACGCAGCACTCAGGGCGTGAGCAGTGCCCCAGCCAAATTCAAGTGCTGAGCTCCCTGCCTCAGTGCATTTCCCATGGTCCAGGAGTATTTTCCTGGTGTGCATTTGGCAGGTATGGATCAGGGAGTTTTATTGCCCTGGATGTGGACCGAGCTGTCCCTGTGAGCTGGGATGTCACGTCTGGCTGCTGGGTTTGCCTGCTAAGCTGGTCAGAGGCTGCCAGCTGAGATGGCTTTGGGAGCAGGCGTGTTCAGAGCTGTTTCCACAGCGAAGGTTTCTAATTGTTGTGGATTATGTTTGAATCGGGTGCAGTGACTGAGAACAGAGTGTTCTCTCACAGGCCAGCACTATTGTGCAGATTTCTCACCAAATGTTTCTAATTCAAGCCCAGAACTTGCTATCCTGTCCTCAAAGAAAATCTGGAAGTATGTTGCTCTCCATAGCAGTGGCTGGCCCTGTCAGCAGGCAGCCCAATAAATCAATATGATGTGTGATTGCTGCTGATGTCACCCGATTACTAACATTTAAAAAAGTTCTGTAGCTGAGATTTCAAGCAGAGTTTGCAGTAACAAGTTCTTATAAAACAATCAGCTGGCATTTTTCTTCAAGCTTAAAATAAAAACACAATTTGAGTTCAAGTATTGCAGCACTTGAGACCTTGAGGATGAAGCTGATCTACAAATAGTTTTGACACTGACTTAATTGATGCTTTCCCATGGAAAAAACCCAAAGTAATGCAGAAAAAATCCATATAGTATAGCAGAAGGGGAGCTGAACTTAGTATTCTTTTTTTCAACACTGAGGACTTGGATTGATCAGTTTATTTATGTGTAACACTCTTTAGCATAAGAAATCAAAAGTGGGTGAGGCGCATTCTATTTTTATAACTATGTATTGAAAAAATTGCATTGTTTGCTGAATAGCATCAGAATATTAAAATTGTATTTTTGATTGTTATGACATGCTATAAACAAAATACAAAGTGTGCTTGCTGGCTGAGAGATGTGTCATCTCACTAAGTGAAGAGGTGTGGTAGTGCTGTATTTGGGCTATTCTTTTGATCTATGTAGGAAGAATGCCTCCTGATAAATTCAAACAAGGATATTTTCATAGTTATTTATAAGATGAAAATAGGTTGTTACTGAGCTAGTTAATGCTTTGAATGGAGTTTTAAATTACTTTATTAATTTCATTATGAGAGGTTTTTCTGGAGTCTTTCAAGTGACATTTGATGCTAGCACCTCAGGTGTTGTAATGAGTTTAGACTTTTTAATCCCTCTGGACTTACTTCAGTTTACAGTAGCTAAGGTTTGGCCTTGTTTGTTTGACAGATGGGTGTGTGTAAAAGCAGTGTTAGCAGCATGTATGAGCTGTGTGGCTGCAGAGAGGGAAACAGGAGATGCCTGTGGTGTTTTGCTGGCTGCACCTCAAGTGTATTTGTGTGTAGACACCTCTCTGCTGGCCCTGCAGCCCCCAGTAACCCTGTGGCAAATATACAGTGTAGTGGTAAAAAAAAAGACAGATTTTGTCAGCAAGATGGCTTGGAGCTCATCAATAATACACCAGTTTGATACAATAAATCTTTCTTCTCATGTGAAGCACTTAATTGTTCAGGTTTATTAGAACCTCCAGCCAGCCCTCTATGCAGCAGGTTAGCAGAGAGGTTGTACTGCCATAGGCAATGCTCTGTGTGCCTGTGGAGCTCTGCAGAGCCACACCTGGCAGATGGCTGACAGCTCTTTTGAAAGAGGAGCTGGTTGTGGGGTTTTGAGAGGGAAAGCAGCACTTCTGAAGGACTGCAGCCTCACTACCAGCACACACTCCACTGCTTCTGCATCAGCTTAGAAAAGGCATGCTTGAAAGAAATGCCTAGAGAGTCTGACCAAAGCATCTCTGCACTGGTACAGCCATGGTGGCTAAATATTCCCCTCTTTTTTTTTTTTTTTGTGTTTTTCTTTGTTTTGTTTTTTTTTGTTTTTTGTTTTTTTTTGTTTTTTTTTTAATTCCCCATGAAAAGTTGTCATTCTGGAGATGGGGGGACAAAATAGTACATGAAAAGAATGTGGAGATGAGTACAAAACAGATTTTTCCCTGAGCAGGAGAGATCTGTTGAGGACAAAAGAGGAGTAAGTGTACCCGCTCTGTCAAGTCAGTGGCAAAGAAAAGGTGAAATGTCTACAATCTCTGTTGAGATTTTGTTCTTCAATTAGCTGAAAGGGGAAAGGCTGACAGCGTTAATCATGATAGTGGATGATTTTAAAACTTTAAAGACTTCATAGCAGATACTTCAAAAACATTCAGTCCAGGAGTTCAGCAGCCTTCAGAAAAAGCTTTGATAGCTATCTTGGCTAAATGAATAACAAAAGATATTATGCATCCTGTTAAAGAGGAATTAATTTATTATGCACTATCAGAAAAAGCAGCAGCTTATCCTTAGTGGGTTCCTTCTGTTTGTGTGATCCAGAAATTCCAGTGGTTCCACCTGAAAGGCCTGGCACCTGGCCAGCAGGAGAGGGAAGGCAGTTGGACTGCACACTGGTCCACTTAGTCATCTAAATATGTTCCTTGATGAATTGCTGTGTTGCTCTCAGGGGTCTAGTCATTTTGTGTCTAGTTGAGGTTTTGTCTTCTGAATGCATATAGTCAGCAAGAGAAACAAAATTACCCATAGAGTCAGGCCTTTTAGGAGCAAGGGTTAAAGAAAGCTGATTTTCTGTAGCACCCATTTCTTCTGTCAAGTCTCAAATTTGACTTTTCCTTTTAGGGTTTGTTTTTTTTTTTCCTTCTCCTTTTTAACACTTTCTTCTTTTGAATGGGAGTTTCTGTTTTGGGGGAGTATTTGAAATCAACAAAATATAAAGTAGACACAGTCTAAATTAGGTTACATAAAGTGCTTTGCTGTCTTTTGGGGTTTGATCAGAGGCTCTTTGAGCCATTGCAATTCCCTGAATGTTGCATGCTATCTGGTTTTAAATCCAGCTTCAACTAAGTCACATACATCATGCATGATTAATAATGGCTTTGTTAGGTGATGTGGTAGGAGCTTAATTTAGTTACTGCTAAATATGCCTAATTTTTTCTAAGTTTATTCCATCTATGTAAATCCCATGGAGGTGTTATTTAACAATTTCCAAGAGGAAATTCAGTTTGCAAATGAGAGGTATTCAAATAATTAGAAATGAGAGATGTCTAGAAGAATTTCATGCATCATTTAACTCTTGCTTCTGCTGGTCAAATATATGAATCTTTTTTTCCTTTTGTATTACCCTTTATTTTGCTACAAAAGATCTTGTGAGACCCTTCCTAAAACCGTGAGAGATTCAGGGAAGTAGATGCAAAATATTTCAGGTATTAGAAAATGCCAAAGCTGAACAGAGCTTAGAAAAACTCTTTTTTTCAGAAGTTGCTCGAAGGAAGTTCAGGCTACATAAGCTTTCCAAACCATGGCAAAACAGCCTACTTTCACACCACATGGAAGTAGCCCCTGTGAGCCAGGCTTGCATGTGCTTCTCTTACTACAGCACCTTCAAGGAGGTCTTATGCAAAAAGCTTGTGCAAAAACCTCCTGTCACCCCTTTCAGGGTAGCACATCAGTGTGCATGCAGCACCAGCCTCTAAGTAGAGGTGTGCCTTTTGTGTCCATGTGCTAAGGAAGAAGGCGAAAGGAGGAGAGCATCATTTGAAGATGTGCACAAGCAAAACAGCACTGAGTCCATCACTGCTGCATTGGCAATGATCTCGCACTGCCCAAATTGTACAGAGGAGTAACATTAAACAGCACAGAGGTTCTGCAGGAGAATCCTCGTGCAATCTACTCTGAAAATCCACTCTGAGCTCTGAAAATGTTAACCTTCTTCAGCAAAAGGAAATGTTGCTTTTTATTAATGAACTGATAAGTTCAGAAGCCCCCTCTCTTTGTGAATGAAAACAGACACATTAGGCACAGGAAACAATTCGTCTGTAGCTTTGTGACGGTCTGGGAACTTTCTATAAGGTTTTTGTGTTGTTACTTGACTCTAGAACTATTTGTTAGATTTAGAAGTTCAAAGCCTGGCTCTTAGCACCACAGGATTAGACAGTTTAAGTAGGAGCATGCAAATCAGCTTAGTAAACTATCTGAACACAAAATGTTAGACTCCTTATGGCATCTGGAGGGAGTGATCACAAGATTGAGGTGATTGCTTTCCATGGGCTCTATTATGCTAATAAGCAGTACTAAATTGGGTTTCCCTTTCTCTCCCACTCTATCAGATAATCACCTCCCTGTACAACATTTCTTTTACTTCTGGCTGGTTAGGTTGTCCAGGGGGCTGAAGATTTCCTCACTTTTCTACCATACTGTAAGCAGCAGTATTGCATGTGAAAGGGAAAAGGGGAAACTCAGACCATCTTACTATAATTGTTAATATGTGGGCTCAGCACCCGGTGGAACAGGTGGTAATGTGAGACACCTTTTGCTTCCAGATTAGAAGAACCTATGCTTACTCCTAGGCTTTGAATTTCCAATAGCAGGCAACAGGGTAGCATTGAAGTGCTGGGGCCTATAGGAGAACCACTAATACACTATTCATTTACAGCATTTGTACATCCTGAAACTGAAAAAAATTCCTTCTGGAATCCAACTACCTCTCCTATATACCATGTGCCAGTAACGCTCTCTATCCAGCATAACTTTTCCGTCAAAGGCGCTAGCTGGTGATTGCCTCGTTTGGTGTCAGTCCATGGTAATGCCTGGTCAGCTTTTGGGTAGTTTTCTGTTGCATCTAAGAGATGACTTATATTTGTGTAGGTTACCTGCTGTGGCCAGGCTTTGTAATGCTTTGCACACAGGGCAGGTGGGAGTAGTGACCAGAGAATGCGTGGTGACAAAAGTCACAGTCGGGTTGAGCAGGTCAAGGTTCATTAGAAAGTTACCTGGAGTCTGTCTTATGTATAAAACAAACCTGATAAAACCAGCCTTTGTCTTACTGTTCCCAGAGCCCATCCCTGCTCTCTCCTCATGGCAGCGAGACGGCTTAGACTCAGATGAGGCTCGCCTTTCCCCCCAGGCCGGGCGCTTGATTCGCCAACTGCTGGATGAGGACAGTGATCCCATGCTGTCCCCTCGCTTCTATGCCTATGGACAGAGCCAACAGTACCTGGATGATACAGAAGTGCCTCCTTCTCCTCCCAATTCTCATTCCTTCATGAGGTGGGTTGTGATTTGCCAGTGTAGACTTTCGCATGCGGCTGCAAAGGGTTTGCACAGTTGCATCAAGCAGCATGTCTTTGGGTCGGCTCTGCTGCATTGGGTTTCTGTCCCTACTCACAGGGACCTGATATTTTATAAAAAGTCCTTTGTAGTTAATTTCTGGGTTTGTGCATTGATATCTAGGGCTGCTAGAGCATCTTTTGCTCTGTCATTGCAGAGTAGCAATATAGCATTCTCACTTTCGTGGGCCTTGCCTTTATTCACACAAAGTGAAGTGGCCTGATCTGCATCAAGATGTACTGTGGCTGTTTGGATAAGCTGTTCCTGCAATCTCTGCTCTTGGCAGGAGACGGAGTTCCTCTTTAGGATCTTATGAAGATGACAGAGAAGACCTTACCCCTGCACAACTCACCCGGAGGATTCAGGGGCTGAAGAAAAAGATCAGGAGATTTGAGGACAAATTCGAAGAGGAGAGGAAATACAGAGTGAGTCTCTAGGACTTAAGCATTTATGTGAAGATTGATGCATTAGCAACAAAGGGAAGGGACACCCGGGAAGTGGGTCAAGCATACAGAGGGACACCAGGGAAATATGCCAAACATACAGAGGGGCTTGAAAGCTTTTATAATGAGTAAAGAAAAAAAAAAAAGGCAGAAGACCTGCTTACCCCTCAGAAATCTGTATTCACACTGAGCAAATTACCTTTCCAGGTATTATGTAATATCCATGCAGCACAAGAGAGGAAGGCTAATGAACTCACAAGATTTCGACCACTGCTTAAGACAGAGTGTAGCAATACCTGTGTTCAACTTCTGTTGTTTATTTATTGAACTTCAGCATATGGGAAGCACAGTCGCTGATCTCATTTGCATTATGGTAATCCCAGGGCACCTGTGCAATGCAGAGGAGAGAGAGCAGCTGCCTTCACTCCTGAGCAAGGAACCACAGTCAAGTGCTGCTGAGCAGCAGCAGCAGTGTACTGGACTCTCAATTGTTCTGATATGCCCTTCTGATGCACAGAAAGCTTTTTAAGGAGCTGTAAAGCTGTGCATGTGTGCATCTTTGGCTATCAAAACGGCAAAGAATTGTACTGGAAAGATTTGGCCTGCAGTAGGGAAAGCTGAAAATATGCTCAGAGCTTGCTGTAGCCTAGAATTTGGGTCATTTGATATTTTTGGATGTAAGGCAGCCTTTGGTGTGGATACATGTGTCGTAACACTTTTCCAACTGTTCATGCTATGTTTCCTCTATTTTAGCGGTACCCTCTTGTTAGGAAACAATAGACATAAGGATTCCAGTGTGCATCCAGCCCTCTGAGTCACTCCTACAACTTAATGATTGGTATCAAATGTTGTGTGTTTTCTAAAAAGAAAATCCATTTCATGATGCACCTCAGACAGAGTGTTGTGACAGGCAAGAGCAATTAAAGTAAGGTCTGAAATGGGCTGGTCAGAGACGTGCAGCTGCCAGTCAGAAGCCAGTTCCTGTGCTCTGTGCTGGGTCCAAATTCCACTGTACCCCTTTGTGCCACACACTTGTTCCAGTGAATCACTCCTGGTGGTTTAACACAGGTTCACCATGGCTTTCCTTTCCTCCCAGCCTTCCCACAGTGACAAAGCAGCCAACCCTGAAGTGCTCAAATGGACAAATGATTTGGCCAAATTCCGAAAGCAACTTAAAGGTGAGGAGCCACCACTGGTGCACCTTTGGGGAGTAGCTTGACTCTGCCTCATTTAGATTTGATGTGAGGCAGTGATCCTGACACTGTCACATTTTAAAAATGAAAAATTGCTCATCTTTGCCTGCTCAGAGTCAAAGCTGAAGATATCAGAGGAAGACCTTGGCCCTGTTGTGCGCCAGCGCAGCAACACACTCCCCAAGAGCTTTGGCTCTCAGCTGGAGAAGGAGGATGACAAGAAGCAAGACCTGTCAGATAAATCTGCCCAGCCTGCAGTGGAAGTGACCTTCGACTCCATCCAGAAGAAGCTTCAAGAGAAACGAGCAGAGACAAATCGACCTGAAGACATTAAGGTACAATGGTAGCCAGGTCAGATTTAGGCCTTTAAGTGCAAGTGGGTTACTTGTGACTGCACAGTCACTTGTGAAAGTGTTGTGGTCTTTGACATTTTGTTAAAAAATCTGCAGCCTTTAGTCTGGGTTCACTTACTTTAGTTCCATTCCCTCTGTCTTTAGTATCTTGTTTTCTTCCCCAGAGCTCAGTTTCTGTTGTATGTTATCTTGTGGTCTTTGTCTGACTCTTGCATATCCTAGTAATGTTTCTGAATTATTGCAATTTTTTTCCTGCCCTGTGTTTGGCTGTTTCTGGTGCTCTATCCAAAAGTTTTTGTCAAATTCTGAGTCTTCCAGTGCTTCTAGAGATTATGTCATCTGTTTGCTTCTTGTTCACTCCAAGATGAATAGTATTCTCTCAGGGTGTGTTACTGCTAACCTTCAGAGTTTCACATTGAGGTCTGTTAGCTTCTGTAATCTCTGAGGGTTATCAGCAGGGAGGTCTTCATGTCTGATGTGAGCTCCTGAGGTCTGGGTAGCCTTGTAAATGAAGTCCTTGAGTCTGCTGACGTGTAAATTGTGCACTGCTGTATAAGAGTGAGGCAGACAGCATTATCTTTGTTTGCTAGATCTGCAGAAGAAAAACATACACCATGTGTTTTGACTGTTTTCTGACTGTAGCAAGAATCCGCAGCCTGGCCACTTATGGAGGGACTGTGATTGTATTTGGTGCTGTGATGGGGAGAAAAGGCTTGGTGTCAGGCTAATTCAGTGGGGGAATTTTGGCCACCTTGGTTAGAGAAGTCTTCTCTAACTGTCTTCCCTTTTTTTTTCCTTTGGCTTTGTCCCCTCTTGTCTGCTACAGCCTTTCACTCCATAGCAGAATTTGCAGAAAGACATTCTAACTGCACTTCAGTTCTTGGTGAAGTGTGTTTGTTACAGTCAAAGCAAAGGTGATAAGCTTTACAAGACGTACTGGAGTTTGTCTCAGATTTGGAGAAAAAGAATGGAAATGTGTTCTTTTGTAGAATTTACATTTCAGATCTTAACTGAAGAAGATTCCACCAGCATTAAAAGTTGCATAGTGTTGTTTTTTCAAAGAACACTTACAATCTGTAAACCCACTTTAGGTATATAAAGTACCTTAATATGCAAAGTTTGTGTGTTTAATCTACCTGCATTGAGCATAGGGTTCTAGTCACATTAACTGTCTCTTTGGCAATCTAGCTGGGAAAAGACAACTGGAAGGTAGAGATGAATCTTTAAAATGTAATGATCGTATGACATGACTTAGGTTGTGGCACAGATTAGTATTTTTTAATCCAGGAATCTGACTTTTTTTTCTTTTATTCCTCCCTTTCCCTCTCTCTGTGCCATTTTTCACAGGACATGACACGAGACCAGATAGCAGCTGAAAAAGTGGCTCTTCAGAAAGCTTTGCTCTGTTATGAAGGCATTCATGGCAGACCGGTATGTACTTCAGCATTTTTTTTAATTTCTTTTTTTTTTTTTTTCCCTCAAAGTACATCTTTATAGGTCTTTGTCTGTGGTAAATGATGCCCCTAATGCCCCTTTGATGTCAGGTCACTAGAACTTCTTGCTCTCCAAACCACACGTGCACCTAATCCACCTCCCTGATCCTTCACTTCCGCAGCTGCTGAGGAGTCTGTTCCAGGCAGGGTGATGTCCTCACACAGCACTGGGCTGGACAGACACCTGCAAGACAGAGCCTACAGGCTGAGTGGCCATTATTTTGGCATTGTGCTCATCAGGTGCCACAGACATCCAGTTTGAGGCCCAGTGGACTGTCTGCATGAGAACAGTTGTATGTGGTGCCCACAGCCGGGAAGTTTGAAGTTTCCTGGTATCAATGGTATAAAGCAAACTTATTTGTGAATACAGAGAATTAAGTTTTGTCTCCTGTTGATCCCTGCTGTGGCAGAAACACAGTGGCTTCCAGGCCATAAAGTTGGCTTTTTATGAGTCCGTCCTTCTCTTTCACTCATGCCATTATAATCTTTGTGACCAGCTGTATAGGTAAAGTAACTTAATTTCAGAGTGCTGCTAATCCCCTGAGCAGTGGCTTGGGAGCAGCAAATTACTGCTTGTAAGGAGTGCTTGATTGTTGCAGCTCACAAATCTGTCATTCTGTTGCTGCCTGAGAGTCTTGATTTTTTCCTTCCGAATTATATCTTCCTTTATCCATTGTTTTTTAAAGTCTCACTAATTTATTTAAATGCCTTCATGGAGTGCTAATATTATACAGTCACAACTGTATTAGCAACTGAAAATGGCATAGTTACAGGAGAGGACAGGCAAATTTATTCTTGTGTAAAAAAGGGCAGCACAAAGGAATTCACTTAACCTTCCCTGTGTTCTCAGTGAGACCAAGTCTTTTTTTGCTGCTTTTACAATTATATAAATCAAAAGTTGTCATCTTACTGAACTCACTTCAATCTGTTCAAAAAGATAACAAGCCTAGAGCCTATCTTGTCAGTATACTTTTATTTCCACCTACCTTTTCCAATGCTTCATTTATACAACTACTTTTTAATTTATTTTGTTTTAAAGTAAGCTGTCTATACCTAGTAACACTGAACTGCATGGCAAGGAAGACTCATCAGCTTTTGCTGTTCCCAGCTCCTGGCAGTGCAGCAGTGGAAAAGTACTGAGAGCTTGAGGAGAATGTGGATAGTTCAGCCAAGGGTTTTTTTTTCCCCTTAAAGATATTTAACTAAACAAGAGAAACAATAGAGCTCAGATTTATTGTGCAGCTGGGTCTTTCTGCACCAGTGATAGATGAACCTGCAAAGGTGGAACTGAGCTGTTTTAGTTAAGCCAAAAGTCTGTCTCTGCAGAAATTCTTGAGATGCTCTAACAATGCAAGCAATGGTCTGTTCTCAGCTGCTGCTGTTTTGCCACGTGGAGTGTGCCCCAGAGTTGTGTCAAAGGCTCCATTATTCTAACAGTCGCTTTGCATTTTCATGTTCTCCCAAAATATACTTTACTGGTCTTACTTATGTTTATCTAATGAGACAGTGTGCCCATGTCCTAAATATTTACTTTCAAGATATGCTTTCTGTAAAGTTTGCTGGTGTAAATGAGCTGCAGGACAGTCTCAGACTCCATACACTTAACTTCCAACACCTATATTAATTATCTGTGTTGCTCCTCCACACTGATACTTAAACATTAAAGCATGTTGTTTAACTTTTCCATTCTTCAACATACCATGAACTTTGTACCCATTCCAAGGCTTATGTTTATTTTTCTGTACAGAACAGTGCTGTTAATCAGCTTTGAAATGTTGTTAATTGAAGGTTTGATTCTCAGCCTGAACATAAGCCTCATCATAGTCTTGGGGTTTTTGTAAGTAACAGACTGTCTGAGCCAACAGTAGTGCTGTACCTCCTGTTCCACAAACTGCTAATCTTGTAAAGCTGGGAATAATATTATATATATATTTAGGTTACCCAGTTTCTCTAGTTGTATTCTGAATGGGTTTACAGAGAAATGTCCAAAGTTGGAGGCAACTTGCTAGCCGGTGCAATTGAGTGCAGGCTCATCAGCACAAAACTCAACACAAAGAGGACTGAGTGAATTGTTTCATGCTGCTCTAATCCATGTGAGCTGCTTACTCAATGAACAGGCAGCTTGAGGCTGCCAGGAATTGGAGCCCTGCTGTGCTTTGGGGGTGTGGGACATTCAGCCCCCAGAGCTCAAGACTGCTCATCTGTATCCCCCTTATCAGGCCTGGGGATATTTGCATTGAACCAGGAAAGGAATAACAATCATCCTCCTTTTCCTCCCATGTTCATTTGTCCCCAACATAGGGAACATAGGCTTGGCTATCAGGAGGAAGATGGATGCTACCTCCAGATTCTTAGAGTTCATCCCTGCCATCCACTCCTGGCAATACTTACAGCCTTTCTGCCCCCCTCACAAGCTAAAATCGTCTCTTTCTCTGGAGGGAGGATGTAAAAGCTTTACAAAGATTATGCCAGTGAAAGTCAACTGCAGACAAAATAAAAGGCAGTTTAAAATTGCATCACTGTCTCAAGCTGTATTCCCTTTTCTGCTGTTTCTGTTGTAGAAGGAAACACTGCACAAAGCTCCCTAGGGGTGACTCTGTTGATGCTGATTTTTAAATGGCAGTTGTTCAGGTGCTCTAGTGATTAGCAGCAAGTAGAAAGGCATGACATCAGTTAAAGCTTCCTCATAAGAGCTTTATAATCTAAAGTTAGAACAAAAGATAATGGAAGGACACTTATAGGATGTGGGTCAGACAGTGTTGAATGATGATCAGGTATTGCTGAGGATTTTGTTTGTTTTCTAATCTGCTATGAGAAGACACTGAAGAAATAAAACCCACCTTGAACCTGAAAGAAAACCAGAAATTAACACACTCAGTTTGTAATGCTCTCACAACTGGGGAGGGAGCACAACAAGCAGTAAGGAGGAGTGGAGTTAAGGACAGAGCCATATAAAGAACACCTGAGGTGGACATCACAGAACTATTCTCTCTTCTCTATGCCACACAGCCCTGGCACCTTCATCACTTCCAAGCAGTGAACCCTTCCCAGCAAAGTGTCTGTGAGGAGGGATGGAGAGCAAGGTTAGGAGGCTAAAAAGAAGAAAAACTGCTGGCTGTACAGGAAATTAGGAGGAATAGCAAAGCCAGAAAGTCAGCTGTTGTGAAATCTGTAGTTTACTGTACTCAAGGGAAGTCTCCTCACATTGCAACAGCCAGTCAGTGCAGCTGCTTTCTCTTTTCACAGGTCGTGAACACAGCTATTGAGGGCCAGTCACAAGAACAAGGATGGGAAAGCTCATCTTGTGCTCACGGTGGCAGACGTGACTGCAAGCACAGACTGCTGCCTCTGCAGGTCATTTTGTGCTGTGGACACCTGATCCCTAATTGGTCATTTAAACCACCTGTGGCTTACAGCCCCTTTACAAGACAGCCCACACAGCTTCAGCAGGCACCAGGCACAAGTGATGCAGTGGTGGACAGGAGTTTCAATGCTCCTGTCATCCCCATACAAGTTTCTTCAAGCTCCACAGACTGAGGGTGATCACAAGCGCGTGAATTCTAGAGTGGAGCATTTGTTGCAGGGTTCATGGGTGTCTCTCTTTTTCCTTTGCAGGTTACCAAAAATGAGCGGCAGGTGATGAAGCCGTTGTATGACAGGTATCGCTTGATCAAACAGATCCTCTCCAGAGCCAACACCATCCCTATTATTGTGAGTAGAGCACTCTTTTGTGGGGTATTTCTTTGTTTTCAAACTGAGGAAGCAGGAATCACCACTCTTTCTCATACAACACAATCACTAAGGCAAAGTCCCAGTCTCCCTTACCACTCAGAGATCAAGCAAATGAGTGAATCAATGACACACTTCATACTGACGTTGGGCAAAGCTGGTCAAGGGACTTTAGTGCCCACCTGTGAGCCATGGGGCACATCTCACCTTGTATTGTTTCTTCTCTTTCCATTGGGCTGCTGCTGTTATTTCATCCATCATCTGTTTGGCTACAGCCTCACTTCTTTTTCCATACCAACCCACGCTGAGCTGTAGGCCTTCCATGCTGCTTGGTTCCACAGGGTTGTATGTACAGGGTTCCTGTACACAGAACACAGACTTGAGCAGATCCCACAGGAGATGCCAGTTGTGTCCTTGGCTGAAAGAAAGGACCCTTAGTCTTCTAATACTTTACTTGTATTAAGAGACTCTCTTTCAAGGTGCCCAGCAAGGAGCCCAATACACCCCTCTAGGAAGAAAATTCACTGGCTTTAATTTTGGTCAATTTGTGTAGTCCAGTTTTTAAAAATTAATTTAAAAAACCCACACAGAACTCTTCAAGCCTATCTATGGAAAGAGAGTTCTTTTATCAAAGTTCCTGTTTACTCTGTCATGTATGAACCTTCTTTTTGCTTTTCCTGAGCAGTGCTCATGTCCTGCCCACTTTCTGTAGACAGCCAGTGAAGTGAATGGGCAGGCACAGCATTACCCAGTGCAGTGTCACTGAGGTATGGGGCTTTTTTCTGCAAATGCTGAGAGGTGTTGCTGGACCTGCATTTAAAATGAAATAAAAAGCTGTTCCTCCTGGGATATGCAAAATAGTCCCCAAAATGTGTGCTGTGAAGACAGTGCTGGCAGTCGAGGAGGAAGCTGAGTAGGTGTGCATGGGCAGTTTAATGCAAAGCTGTCAAAAATAGCCCAGGTCCTGTTAAGGCACAAAACTGAAAATCCACAGAGCAGAGATGAGACTGATTTTTTTTCCCAGTCTTCTGAGTGAGAACAGTGAGAGGTTCATAGAGAGACAGGATACATTTGAAAATCCATCTCTACATCAGTAGGTACTTCACTGGAAAATCAGGCTCCTGGAAAGCAAATCTTGAGAGCCTTGTCTGAGTTTACAGTGTAGCTCTGGAGAGCCAGCCAAATGCTCTGTGTGTGTATGGGCCTCAGGCTGGGGATTATTATCTTGCAGCCTTTGCCTTGTAGTCACTACCCAGCTAATAATCATCTAAGTTTCTTTTTAAAAACAGATTGGCAGTGGTGTCCTTTGCTAAGCAACATCCTGAGAGAAAACAGCCCAAGGTTCAGGGGGTTTTCTAGGCCTATTTTTCTTTCTTGAGAAAGTTATTTCTCCTGGTGGTCCAGTGATGAGCTGAGCATGAGTGTGTGGGTGAGAATGAGGAGAGCAGGTGGTGGAGGAGAAAGGGGTTCACAATGTAACATACTTGTTAACACCTGTCACAGGGTTCCCCCTCCAGCAAGCGGAGAAGCCCTTTGCTGCAGCCAATTATCGAGGGCGAAACAGCTTCCTTCTTCAAGGAGATAAAGGTGAAGACCTCCAGCTGCTAACTAATTGCTCAGTTTGCATCAATTTTCCCCTTTATACCAATGAAACAGAATGGTTGATTGATTTTTTTTTTTTCATCAGTGTTGATTTTTTTTGCAGTGTCCTCCTGAAAAATCAGTAGCTGCTTTAAGCCTCGCCAATTCTGATCAAATTTTTCCCTTGTTGTAGATAAGACTACAGTGTTTCCTTGGCTTTGCATTCTTTCCTGTCCTTCTCCTTTCCCATCCATCTGCACATATTTTATTTTGCTTTAAAAAAAAAAATCAAAATCATAGCCCTGTACCTTACTTTTTATCTTGCTTTCCTCCTTTCTTTTACAAGACACTAACTTGTTTTGCAGTAGTTTCTCTCACTCCCAGGCTCCGTGGCTTGCTCACAGCACCATGGCAGGAACGAGCTCTCACAAAACTAACCCTCGCACGTGGAGTCAGCCAGGCCACTTACAGGATCCTTACCTGCTCCCCTCCACTTATTTTATCCAGGCTCTTTTTCACCTCCTTGTGCAGGGTGTTTTTAAATTAATGAGGATGGAAGTAAGAACAGCTGGATTCTGCTGGTTGATACGTGGTCAGATTTGGATGGCAGGATTGTTGTCTTCCTTCTTGTACTGCTGTGGAGTAATAATCTGGGGTAGGGAAGATTGCTTTGATACTGGGCCTTGCCCTGAGAAATAAAGTCCAACAGCTGACCAGGACACGCAGTGTGGAGCTGGGCCCTGGCTTGTTTTCTGTGCCCTTGCAGTGTAACAAGGGAGAGAAGTGCTTCAGCACATTTGGGTCATATTTCAGTTGCTCACCAGAACTTGGTTAAATGTAAGTACTGCAGACTTAGAGATCTGAGGTGATTGAGTCCAGTGGATTGTATATTAATGGACTATTCGAGGCACATATTCTTTAATACCAGATTGCAGATTGAAGATGTTAAGCTGCTGTTTGAAAGCTGGTTAATGATCACTGAGCTTCTTAGTATTTTCTAGATAACTGCTGGATCAAATCTGCAGTACTGGTCTGGTGGGGAGTGGTTTTGTTTGCTTCTGTTTTTTTCTTTTAGCGTGTCATTCTTTCTCCACCTCTGCTTGCACCCAGTGTGAGAACTTAGAGCTGTCAATTATGGTGATCCCTGATGGCCACCACGGGCTGGTGCTGTGCCAGGCAGCACCAACTCAGTTCAGCAATGTCCTGCAGGGAATACAAACCTGGAGGGTTTCTGGCAGAAGATCAGGATGACAGCCTTAAGCCTGTAAACATGATGTGCCTATTAACACTTAAATGGGGCTCTATGAAACTGCATCTGGAAGCTTCATACTGAACTACACTCAGAAGTAGAGAGAGGAAATTATCAAAAGGCCCCAAAACTTAGCTCCTGCATAGGTCCACTATGGGCAGGGAAATATTTGACAGGCCACTGACAATGTCAGTATTCATGTGTTTCTGGGTGAGTTTTTGTTTTTGAAGCATTTGGGAGAGTTGACTAAAAACTAGAAAGGTGTTTTGAGGTGACCTTAGCAAACATTTTGGTACAATATCTTGAATGTTGTGTTGGAAAAATCGTTAGGATTCTTGCTTTGTGGGAGTGCTGAAGATAGGATACTCTGGGGATTTGACATTTGTAACTCTGGAATGCCTCATAATTGCCTAGCAATCCAAGCAGGTGCATGCTAAATGAATCTCTTGTATGAAGATCATTCTGGTTCAAGGTGTAAATGTTGCTGCAGGTTTCAAGTGATGTTCCTGTGGGAGACTTGAAAGGGAAGGCCTTAGAGGGCCTTTTCTGTTGGAGTTCTGGCTAAGAATCCTTCTAATCCACTTCTTTGTATTTAAGAGTAAAATTATTTCAGAGATCTTGTGACAACCAGGTGCAATGTGTTGGCTCTGAGGTCCAGATGAAATTTCTATGCTTTCTTTTCCTCCTGTGGCCTCCCGTGGCAGGAGGCTGGCTCCTGAGCTGCTTGCTGGCTTGGGCAGCACGCTGGTGTCTACAGCAAGGCAAGACAGGCTCATGGGTATCTGGGAGGAAAACACCTTGCATCAGTCCTCAGGAGCAGCTTTGTCACACTGCTCATGGAAATTGTCCCTTTGCTTTCTTTCCAGGAGCTCTCCCAGAAAAGGGCATGGGAGCTCCTCCTTTGTTGCCAGAGAGATTCCTCTAAAGCAAAGTGTGCTGTTTTTACTGCTTAGACTGACTTAGCAAATCCTCCTCCATGGCACAGCAGGATCTGTCTGGACAGGGTGGCATGCCTAGGGACAGGGAAATGGCAGTGAAAGATGGTCTCCCCTCCCCAGTTCAGTCTGGAGTTGTTGGTAGTGTTTAAGAACAGTATATGGCTGCTGATTTGTGCTTTCTGTTTAAACTGTACAGCTGATGTCTGGAGAAATGGGTCTTGTCTAATCATATGTCAAATATTGCTTCAACTTCCACAAGTTCCCTGCAGATTTTCCTAAAATGCATTCAAACTTCTTTTGTTTACATCTTATATATATATATATATATATATATCTTCTAATATAAATAATATATTAATATAATATTATATATTATAAGATATAATATATCTTCTGTTATTATTGCTGCTCAAAACTTCTTCCCAGATAATGTTTTCTTCACCCTCCACCCTCAATCTTGGTTGTAATTTTCAGCCTGTGGCTTTGAGATGTGTCATCGTGGTCTAGAGCTTTAAATTAAAAAGAAAACTCTGGGCCAGCTATAATTTAATTTAAATGTATGCATTTATAAATCACTGAGGGTTTAACAGGACTAATCCAAGTCTTGGTGTTACCTTCTCCCTTTTTGCTTGAAATGTGGGACCAGTCTCTTAGGAATACTTGAACTATTCACAAGGAATTACATGAAAAAACAAATTTAAAAAATGTCTACTTTTGATCCTCGTGCTACAATATATTTTTGTCTTGAAGACTTCATTAATATTAGCCCCCAAAAGCTATTAAAGATATTCATGTGCTTAGATCCTTCCTGGATAGAGTTACATGGCTGTAAAATAAATACATTTTCACACACATACATACATATTTACTGTCCATGCTGGCATTTGCTGCTTTCTCTAAGAAGCCTCATTCCTTATATTAAGGTTGAAAACTGCCTTCTAGAAATGTCTCCGTACATAAGAGACTGAGCCTCGTTCCCTGATAATTAAAATTATTTCTGGACAGTGTCTCAGGACAAGCCCTACTTTTGAGAACACAGTGAATTGGTGAATACCAAGTGCAGCAGGGACTTTCAAATCTCATGCCTGTAAATTTTGTAAAAAAATTGGAACACAACCAATTCATCAGTGTGCATTGAGGAAATAGGAAATTGCACTGTGCTGAGTTTCTAGACCAATTTTCAGTGTATTCCAGCAAAGTCAGAGCTAATGTTTGAACATGTTAGCAGCAGCAGTCCTTTTACACTCAATCATATCCCACATTTGCATAATTGTAAAACTCATCTGAGCTCACTGGTATCACTGTATGAGCATTTGAGGTCTTGAATTCAGCCATTAGAGAGAGCTGTTGAGCTGTATCTTTTGAGAGAAAATTCCACATTTTAACCTGGATGGGTTAAAATGTGTCTATGCTGGGAAATGTTTGCAGGGAAATGCAGAGGATGGCTGGTGTGCTTTGAACAATATGTGTAAGAAGTGTAAGTGGGTTCATTTACGTCAGAATACATAAACTAAACAAAGAAACAGGTTGCTCTGAACCCCAAGTATTTTTTTTTTCTCTCAGTTGTGTCGCTCTGGGTCTCCTTAACCAATCTAAGTTTGTGGTGGCAATTTCTCTGTCATGCTTTGGTTCTAGGATGTCTTACTGATGGTCTTCTGGTGTCCTGTGTATTGCTTGGCAATGGAAGTGTTTGCTCTGCTTTTCCACTTCTTGTTCCCGAGTGCATGTGGTGAGAGGAGGAGCCTGTTCTGAGAAGGGAAGCAATAACTGTCTTCTTGTGGGGGTGCTCTGTCCCTGTGTGTAGGAAGAAGAGGAGGGGTCTGAGGAGGACAGCAGTGTGAAGCCGGATCTCACAATTACCATAAAAACAGATTTCAATGTGCGCAGCTTCTTGGATCAACTAGAAGATGATGCTGACGGCTTTGTTTCCCCGGTGGATGATAAGATGCCATCTAGGAGCAGTCAGGATATGGGGCTTTCAAATCTCCACGAAGCATCCATGTATGTTGAATTCACAGGCAACTGCAAAAAGTTATTTCTTGCTAAGATAGTATTTTGTCAGAAAAGTGTCTAAGGTTTTTTTTTCTATTTATGATCTGAGCCGTAAGTTTTCATGTTTCATTTTTAAATGCAATACACCCTCATAGAAAGGTTTTGGAAAGAAACTACCTTGTCTTGATACCGATACATAGCTTATGCACCTTTGGATTCCATCTCTAAATAGTAACTCCACCAGAGGCAAGCCTTTATCATAAAACCCTGCACTCCAGAAGGTTTTTCATGTTTTGAAAGGTCAAGTGGAACTTAGCTTCTAGCTTTGCTAGTTTCAAGTCTGGTGCAAACACATGTGGGTGGTAGCTCTAAGTTGTGACCATTGAATTTGATCCTATAAAAGTCACCAAACCCAGACCCATCTGCAGGAGATAAGTTTCACAGAAGTTAGTGGTAAATTGTAAAGTGCACACTTGACCTCCTTAGAAGCTGCAGCTTAAGACTGTGATCATTTTGCTGAACTAAATTCAGAGAACTTTTTGTTTTAAGTAATGTGAGGCTGCCAGAGCTGCTTGCAGGAGCAGCTCTGTTGTTTGGCATACATACAACTAAACATCTGTAGGTCTACTGTATGTTTCCTGGCTTTACTGCATACATACGGATAATCTCATTTATCTTTAAACCCAACAGCCCTGAACTGTTAGAGCAGCTCCAAGAAGTCAGGGAAGAGAAAAAGCGAATCAGAAAAAAATTGAGAGACTTTGAAGATAACTTTTTCCGACAAAATGGAAGGTAACCATTTTTCAGCTGCCTCTCTGTTTTTCAGCTACTTTTAATCTGTTTTGCATCTATAAAGATCTCCAAATGTGCAAAGTTACCTGAATTCAGTATTACGTATTTCTTCTTCACAATCATTATCATTGCTTTACCCACATCTAGAATGGTGGAAGAGTTATTCAATGTTTAAATAACTCCTTTTTCCCCTAGTGATTTCTGTCCTATTCTTGCTTATCTGGGAGCTATTCAGACACTAGTTTTTTCAAGTATTTCTGCTTTAGTGTAACTGGTTTTATAGTTTTAAGAAAATGTCCCTGATTATCAAGCTGATAGAATGTTTTCATATATGTATACTCTTAAATTACCTTGTCTCTTGCCACCAGCCATCATCCTTTGGGGCTTTTGTAAAATCACTGGACACTTAAAAATATTTTCTGTAAGCCAAGAGCAATCTGATCAAATACCGTCTTTCTTTACATGAGTGTGCCTGTTCATGTAAGTGCTGTGATGCCAAAACAGAGGGGGCTGCATTTTTTTTTTTTTTTTGCCAGGCTCACAGGCTGACACTCAAATGGCTCCTGAAGTGTTTTGCAGAGATGGTGATTTCAGAGAAGCAGGGCATGTTTCAAGTAGGATTTTGCATCTAGAACTGTGGGGTTGTGCTCAGTCTCAGCACACAACCATTCCACACTTCGTTGGAGCAGCTTGTTTGTCCCTTTTTTGTTTGTTTTTTTTCTCTCAAAGGATAAATGTTTTGGTCTTGTTCCCTGATCAGGAGTGGGGGAGAGGAGCTGCTTTGTAGGTCTTGTTGGTGGACAGAGGGAGGCTTCCTGTTACAGAAATCTTCATGGTCTGCTTTCACTCCCACTAGGAATGTGCAGAAAGAAGACCGCACTCCCATGGCTGAAGAATACAATGAATACAAGCAGGTTAAGGCCAAGCTGAGGCTGCTGGAAGTTCTGATCAGTAAGAGAGATATTAGCTCCAAGATCATATAAAGGAGGAGATTGTTTTTGCCAATAAACAAAGAGGAGAGAGCACCAAATGGACAAATGCATGAAGTGAATGCAGTGGGAGCCTGACTGGGAGAGCTGAGGAGCTCCCTGGGAACTGAACGGTCATTCCCAGAAGTGGGAGAGGGAGAAAAGGTGGATTTCTCTAACTCTCTACATTTGCTGTTGCCCACGGTTTCTCCAGGCCTGATGCCCAAAATGGAGCTTGCCAGTGTAGGAGACACAACACTGCGCTCAGTGACTGCACTGAAGGGATCCTTCTGTATTGATTTGCTTACAGATCCTGTAATATTTAGAATATCAAAGCCAGCCATGCTGTTCTTTTTTCCCAGGATATTATAGCAAGAAGCAGAATAGGATTAATAGTACTGAAATCATCAAATAGCTTCTACTTCAGTTGAACAGACAAGTGCCCTGACCAATCTCATGTTAAGGCACAAGTCAGGCAGCACCAAGACTGTTCTCTTGTAGCTACAGTAAAGATTTGCTCAGATTTTTGACCGGTTTGGAGTCCAGCATCTTCTGTTGCTGTAGAGAAATGCTGTAATAATCTGGTCATCACCCAGAGCTGGTGTGAGTTGCAGTTCTGCCCAGGCTTGAGTTGGGTTTTCTTCCCACCTTTTTGATGACAATTCAACCAAAGTAGAAAGCACCTCAGTTTTGGGATAGTAAAGAAAATGAGCCATGCAGCCAGGTTCTTACCAGCTTGTTCTGCTTGGAGGGTGATACTGAGACCTTCTGACCACATTTGGGCAACAGAGAAGAGAAGAGGTTTCAAAAGCTTGAAGTCAGAGTCCCTTGGGATTTTGGTGGTTGGTTAAATATCTGGTGTCAAATATGTGGTAGGTACCTGGAAGACCCACCCCATTAGTAGGAATGTTTGTCATACAGACACGTCAGACCAAGCTGAACAGTCCACAGAGGTGTCCCACAAACTCACTCACCTAAATTTTCTTCTGTGCACATCATGCCTGTGTAGGCTGCAGCAGCAACACTGATGGTGGCAGCAAAGGATGGGTTTTTCTTCCCAGTGTAGGAGGTATGGCAGTACAGAGGATACCACAGGGAACAGAGAGCATGGAGCTGTGCTCTGCCTGTGGAAAGTGCACCTGTCTCAAGTGCAAGCTTTGACAATTTACTGTTTCCAAATTTGTTTATGACTTTCAGAAAATAAAGTCCTGGTACACCTGGCTCAGGTGTGTCTTGGTTTGAAAGGCAGGTATCTACCAAGAAAGGCAGAAGGAATGAAAATGTGAACCCCCTCCCTCCGAATTGTTATAATTTTGAAATTAAGGGGCTCTCAGGCAAAGACATGAGACAGGAATGACAGTTCTTTACCAGTGTGTACACCAAAGCAAACAAACAACATCAGCACAGCACTGACCCCGCCCAGAACAGGAACCCGGTCCTGCCCCCTCTGCTGCAGTTCCGGGCACGGCCAGCAGGGGCGCCGCTGGCTCCCGGCCGGGCGGGTGCGGTGCTGCCCCCGCGCCTGTGGAGGGCGCTGCGGCGCTCGGGGAGCGGGCGGTGACAGACGGGAAGGGCGGCTTCGCTCCACAAACCCCAGGGGCAGCCGATCCCGGTGCCCCCACGGGACTCTCAGAAAACAATGAGTAAAACAATCTCTTTGTGGTGGTAGAGGAGATGTATCAGAAGCTATTCCAGAGCTGTGGCTGGAACCACGGGATGTCTCAGCAGGCAGGGGCTGCAGGGCTACAGTGCAGTGAAAGCTCGGAGCAGTGCCAAAGAGGCAGCGAGGGTGGCCCAGAGGAGCCTGGCTCCCAGCAGGACAGAGAGGGGCGAGCTCAGGATCTCGGGCACCCAAGCAGATGGGGACAGGTCCTCTTTTAGTGACGGAAGTGTTAATAAAGTCTCAGTCCACTGGCTGCTCTCACAAGGAGAAGGCTCACCCCAGAAAGGAAGAAGCAGTACAGGACAGAATCCTCCCCGCAGTAAGAAACAGCTTGACTGTCCTCTGATGCTGAGAGGAAGAGTGAGACTAGCCACTGCCCCCACCCCTTTACTTGCCCAATTCTCATGGTATCTCTGCTCCTTGGAGAGAAATCCCACCCCAGATGAGAAAAGTGCTACCAGATACCAGAGCTTGACCACTTCTTTGTTTTTCTTAAGTACCTATAAGTACCCAGTAGTTAATGTTTCTTAGCAACTTATGGGAAAAAATCTATAGGTAAGAAGGAACAAAAGAAAATTAACCTAACCCCGACAAGGTGCTCATGTCAAACAGGTGCTGCCTGAAGTAGGGAAAGGCCCCAAGTTCAGGGCTCACAGTTCTGCCATCCTGGGACACCTGGGCTCACTCTCCCACTCCAGAGGCTTATGTGCACCCTTGGTCTGCCCTGAGCCACACTCCACCCTGAGTCCCAAGGGAGAGCACTTCTGTAATGCTTTCTTCAACTCCCCAGGGGATCACTGCCAATGTACAGAAGCCAAATAACCAAGATGAACTCCAGTGTTGGTTGTAGCCAGGCCTCATGCATGTCACACCAGCGGAGCCAAAAGGACTCCCAGAACAACTTCTCCCCCTCCCTTCTTTATTAAGGGCAAGTGGGTTCACAAATACTTGTATTTAGTTTGTGGTACTTATGTAAGGGTACTTTATTCCCTTTCACTTGCTATGTATGCTGTGTGTGTTCTTGCCAAAATTGCTTCTATTTTGGTCTCTTTGGGATCCCTTGAACTCTTCCAAAGGTGGTCATGGGCTGCACGTGCACTTTGCTAATCAGGGTGGTTGTCCTAGTTTAAGGCAAATTGCCTCAACTGGTTCGGGAAAAGATGTCATTGGAGAAAAGTGGAAAAACTGTTTATTTAACAAGCAAAGCACTGACAAACATAAAAAAATGAACAATACCAAACAATAAAACCTCTTGTTGTTCTGAAGTGATGGCAGATTCAGAAAGTTCTTTTTGTGGGGTGTAGCTCAGCTCGCTGTGTGTCTCTTGGTCCCTCTGGCACTGGAATGCAGTGTCCCAGCCCCTGTGGGCCACAGGTGTGAACTCCCGGTGTTCTTCTGAGATTTTGGTCCAAAGCAGTTTTGAACAGTTCCAAGAAAATGAAAAGCCACAATCCAGGGAACTTCTCTGCCTCAGCTAGCTAAAAACTAACTAAAAGCAAAAGAGAGCTCTGTCCCCCTGTCCATTCTGCAAACAACACAATCCAGGAGCAGGATGTGGGGAGGCCGTGCAGTTTCTGATAACAAAACACAGGCTTCTTCTGCCACCCCCTTCACTCTTGGAACCAGCCTTAAAGGTGCAAAACTTAATACCCAGCATAAACAGAATAGATGGCTGGGGATACAAGCATCATAAAGGCACCCCAGGACATCGGGTAAGGCAGAGATGTGTTAGTGAAAGCACTTGGGATGGGGACTCATGGCTTGGTTTGGTTTTTATTGATTGCAGAATTGCCTGTTCCATATACAACCAGCAAAGACTGAATTTTGTATTTCCAAACAGTCCAGAGGACTTGTGTGCTGACCCAGGGCTTGGCTTTTCAGAGGTGCTGAGTTCCCAGCTCCTGAGATGGGATCTCTTCTGATCCTTGGTTTGTCTAAACCGGGCTGACAGATTGGATCAGAAAGTGCTTTGAAGGGAAGCCTTCAGAAACCTCCAGGGCAGCTGATCCCAGTGCCCCAGCAGGACTGTCAGAAGCAGCAAGCAGGAATGAGCAAAAACCCCAGAGTGGTAGAGGAGATGTATCAGAAGCTATTCCAGAGCTGTGGCTGGAACCACGGGATGTCTCAGCAGGCAGGGGGTGTAGGGCTAGGGTGCAGTGAAAGCTTGGAGCAGTGCCAAAGAGACAGCGAGGGTGGCCCAGAGGAGCCTGGCTCCCAGCAGGACAGAGAGGGGTGAGCTCAGGATCCCAGGCACCCAAGCAGATGAGGACAGGTCCGTCTTTTTAGTGAGGTAAGTGGTAATAAGGTCCCAGTTCAGTGGCTGCTCTCACAAGCAGAGGCTTACCCCACAGCAGAAGAAGCAGTCTGGGTTGGGCTCCAGCAACAGCAACAAATTCCCTTCCCCAAGGAGCAGCTCTGACCATCCTCCTCCAAAGCCAAAAGAGAGTGAGAGCTGCCCCAGCTCTGTCCTTTACCTGCCCAATTCTTCACTCCCAGATAAGAGAAATGTAACCAGATGCCCTCCTCCCCTGAGCTTGGTCACCTCTTTAGTTTGTCTTAAGTACCCAGTTGTTAATGTTTCCTAGCAACTTATGGGAAAAAATTATGTAAGTAAAAAGGAACAAAAGGAAAGAGACCTAACCCTCAACACTGTCCTTCAAAATCTGTGTCACTGAAAGGGCAGGTTAAGTCCTACAGAGAGACACCTCTGAGGCAACTGAGGCCAGCACACTCCAGAATGTATTTTCAGCTTGGCTACCATAAGCACAAGAATCTCTTCGGTCTTTTTCTGCCAGTTCTCTATGTCCTTGCAGACATCACACCAGAGCTCTCTGTGGTGAGGTTCAACATTCTCACAGCGTTTCCTTACCTCATACTGTTCCTTTGTGCGTATTGGAGCTCAAATTTGTAAAAGAAGGCCCAGGCATCCCCCAGGTCAGAGTACCTTCACTGTGTGGTGGAACCACTCTCTGGCCTTGGTTATTTTGTGCACGCTCCAGAACAGCTTGGCCACAGCCAGCAGGACACATGGGTCATGTTCACACTTCCTGAGAGCATCCACACTCCTGGTCTTTCGTTGCAGCCACGCTTCAAGGACAATTGCTTCTGACCACAGGATTCCTGAACTGGGGCACTCTTGCAGTGCCTTGGCCATCAGACTGTTAGCAATGTTCTTCAGCCCAGCTCGGAACTCCAAATGTACAGACTCCAATCAGAGGTCTGGATTCTTTGGCTTCTTCAGGCAAGACTTTTCCAAGACAGCTCTTGCTCTAGTCAGCTGCCCAAATTTCTCCTCCAGCCTGGACAGCAAAGGCCACAGGGGTATGGAATGGGGGCTTTTCAATGATTGATTATAAGCCTCCCGTGCTTTCTCTACCAGCACTTTTTGTTCTTCAATTTGTCCTTTCATCATCCACTGGGGAATCTCTCATAGTGCTTCAGGGCTTCCCCACAGAGGTCCTGGGCTGCAGCAGTGTTCCCAAGCACCCATTCCAACTTCACAGACTTCATGAAGACCCTTGCTGTGGGAGCACTGCTGTGAGCTTTTGCCAGCAGCCTCCTTGCTCTTTCATACTCACTGTTCTCCGACTCGAATTTCACAGCAGCCAGCCAGATCTCCTCACTGTTGGGGTTGGCCTGGAAAGCCAGAGCCAAGATGCTTCTGGCTGCTGGCACATCTCCCGCCAGCCACTTGGATTTGGCTCCCATGAGCCATAGCACCTCTGCTTTGGGACAGAGCAACAGCTCTCTGCAAAATAGCTCTCCAAAGATTCTCTGCTTCCATGGTTCTTTTCAAAGCAGGCTGCTTGCAGCCACACACCCTTCTTGCTCGGGAAGACTTGCAAGGCATAGGCATAAATGGCTTGGGCACACTTCAGGGCCTTATGAGCAACACAACTGTCTGCATCTTCCATCCAGGTGTGTTTCTGATCTTCTCCCTTGACCCCAATCTCAATTACAGCTCTCATGATTTCCTGCATGTGGCCACACTTCCAGCTTTATCACATTCCTCAGCATCCTGTATCCACTGGTCTCTGCTGATTTCCACACCATTAGCCCTAAGAGATGTGATGGCTCTGTCAATGATTTTCTCCACCATCTGGGTATTACCACTGGCTTCCTCCATTTTGGCAGCAGTAATCCAGATGTGACGATCCGTGGGGATATTCTCCCAGGCTTTGTTGAGGACTTTACGAGCGCTCCCATGTCTCCAGCCTTGTCAGCGCCAGCCACAGTTTCACACTGGCTGGACAGCACTCCACAGCCTGGCTCAGCATGATCCTGGCATCCTCAGGTTCCTCCAGCTCCACGGCTGCTTTCCACAAACGCACCAAGTTTGGAATATGCTCAAGGGCTTTCCTAAGGACACGTTTCATGGCACAGATGTCTGTCTCCAGCTCTGCTGCTCTGATACAGATCCACACAGACTGTGGCAGGTGCTACACAGCCTGGCTGTATCTCCTGGCTGAAATCGAGCAGCTTCCAACCAAACAAGTTTCACTCTTAGGGCACATCTCTGTTCCTTTCATGATGAGGTTTAAAGCCACCTGGAGTTTGCCAGTGACTTTCTCCAGTCAGGCTGATGCTATCCAGGCTGGTGGATGATGAGGATTCGTCTCTCGGACAGATTTCAGGAGCAAACAGGCTTTTCCAATATTGATATCTCCTCCATGTGTGGGAATCGTGGAATTCAAGTCTGTCAAATATCCTTTTGGGTCCACTATGGTCTGGCCAGTCACAGAGTCTGACACCTGGCTTAGCCTCATATCCATCAAGGTGTTCCTGGCTTGGCCAATCTTTTTCATATCCAATTCACCTGCCCCAGGTGTCATCAAGCCTGGTGTCATTCCTCCTGGTATAGAGTATTCAAACCCCCTGGATACGGAGTATTCAGTCCACCAAATTGTGTCTGGCGTGGGTCCACGGTAGTGTGATGCTTCTCTGACTGCAAATGCTTTGCAAAGAAGCTGTCGGGGACAGAAGTCAGATTCTCATAACGAGGATTCCTCTGCCACTTTTGTCCTGGCATCCTCAAGTATTTGGGAATACTCAGCCACTCCTCCTCAGTAACCTCTGCTAATTTCCATTTCAAGTCTGAGAACTGCTGTTGAATTTTGGGTTGTTCCATACGTTACTTTTCTAGTTCCTCTTTTTCTCATTGTTCCCTCCTTTCTTTCCTGCATTCATCCATCCTCTTATCCAAAGCTGCATAAATAGAATCTGCTTCTTCATCATCTTTCTCGTAGGGGCCGCTTGAGAACAGGCTCCCAGCATAGCCATTGAACTCATCATAGTTGGTGTCATTCAAATCCCCATCATCATCTGCTGTCTGGTTCTTCTTCATCTGGTTCCCCACAGTTCTCTTGCCCGGCGGGGCGTGCTGGTCATCCACGAGGTCATTGGCATCGCAGACAGAGCCGATATCAGAGCGGCTGGTGAAACCTGTGGTTCTGTGGCCCAGCCCTTGGAGGTAGCCCAGGGGCACGGGCACGCCCAGGAACAGCTTCTTCTTCAAGTTCATGATGGTGGTGGCAAGGTGAGACAGAAGAGAGAGCATAGCTGTGAGAGGCAGCCAGGAGAGCAGCAGCAGAAGCGGCAGCGGGAGCTCATTCCCTTCCCCAAGCAGCAGCTCTGACTGTCCTCCGAAGCCAACAGAGACCTGCTCAGCTGCCCCAGCCCCATCTCTTACCTGCCTGATTCTCACAGTATCTCTGCCCCTCGGAGAGAAACTCCCAGATAATAGAGGTGCAACCAGATGCCCTCCTCCCCTAAGCCTGGCCAAGTCTTTTGTTTTACTTAAGCACCCTGTTTTTCTGAAGAACCCAGTCATTAATGTTTCCTGGCAACTTAATGGGAAAAAAATTCTATAAGTAAAAAGGAACAAAAGGAAAGAAACCAAACCCCCTGTGATAGTTCGAAAGCAAACCAGTGGGAGACCCCAAGTCAGAACTACAATTTACTAGGAAAATTAAAATAAAATGCAGTAGCACAAAAGCACTGACAGAGTCAGAATACAACCTGACACCCTGTCGGTCAGGGTGTTAGTAGTAGTCCTATTAAATGGTGGCTGCAGTCCTCCTGGAATGACAGATGTGGTTCTGTTGAAGCAGTGATCCTGTAGAAGGGTGTAGTTTTCCTCTGAAGGTCCAGTGGTGGTGTAAATGGGCCTGGTATTCCTCTGGGAATCCAGTGGAAAAGGCTGCTTGTAGTGCTCCAAGTCTCAAGATTATATCCAGGTAGGAATGCTTGGCTCCTCCCACTGGGC